TTCCCGTCCGCTCAGCCGTACTTAAGCCACACGCCGGGAGGTTAGTAGTTGGGTGGGTGACCACCAGCGAATCCCTCCTGTTGTATGTTTTTCTTTTTTCATTTTGGTCTAAATATCGTTTTAGGTGTGTTGGGTTTACTCTGTAGAGTGCCCTTACTGCTGCTATAAAGCTCTACGGTTGGTGAAAATGAGTGCAATCCGGCATAGTCTTAAAAGTTATACACGCAGTTATGGAGACGCAAAATTCATCTGATCTAGAATGTAGAATTGGCATGAATAATCCCAAGCTGTCGCGAATGTAATGCTTGTATCATACTGCAGATGTAAGGCTTAATGTCCCCCTATATTAAGAAAGCACCCCTGGCGTCTGTACCTGTAACAATAAATAGGTTGATCCCTAGAGCCTTTGTTATAATAGAAGACCTTTCTATCAGAAGAGCATCGGTATCTATAGTCTATACAGGATCTGCTTCTTATTCCAGTATATAAAGGGGATATGTTGTTAGTATTTATGACCAGAGTCAATCAAGTAGAACGATCCTTTGTTATATGCATATCATAAAGAGGACTTTACTGCACTGGGCATATATCACCTGCTATCAGTCGTCAACATTGTAGGAACGTGCTCAGGTATTCTTCCAGTCTAAACGGAAAACATGATTCCCAAAGTCATCGCAAGTTTCTAGTCCGATTCAGAACCATGTGAGCCACATGGCAGTAGCAGAGAGTCCATTAATCCTCTTCATCCATAACCTTGACAATTACTCCAGGAAGGCTTCTCAATCGTTGAACACCCTGTTCATCAATCCTGGATTCAGTCAGAAGATTAGGACCAGTTCATTTAACGGATACATAGCAAAACTGGTCTTGTAGGAGACGTACTCAATGCCAAATATCATAGGCGGTAAACTTCTAGTTTCAGGGTACTCGCTGGTTCCAGTGAATTCCGTAAGGATGCTAAGATTGTCAGCCATAGCGTATTTCAAGTCGTTCCTCGGACCTTTGAGTTCCAACATACTTATCAACCCCTTCGCGACTGTCTTCCCAACTCTCCACACTTTCAAACCTGACTGAAATTTCCTGTATACAAATTAATACTAATAGCAGTTGTTAAGTTGGGCATATCTCACCTTCTGGGGCATTGTCAGATGGCAGGAAGCTTGTTAAGTTGAATATTCAGAAAATATTTGCGGCACTAGAATGATTGAGACTTTACTCAACACTACAGGAATATATACAGTTTCTCGCTACAGATCAGGCTGGCTGAGGATCTGCACGTACAGCTCATCATGCATGTGGATCAGCGAGGTTTGCCCCACCAAATTTGTCATTCACGAGATCATGGCCCTAACTAGCCTTTTTTACAGGAGGGGAATAGTCCACCACTAGACGACGCGAGGCAGCCCATATGGTCAGAGGCGCGGCTACTAGTGCAGCGGGAGGCGGGGCAGCGAACCAATAATGTAATCAAGAATACACGAAGCGAGGCGATCCTAGGGCGGGGTCCCAGTTCCGAGGGGGTCAGGATTTAGTGGCTGGGGGTCAGAGTGGTTCTGACCTCCCGAGAGATCTACCGCCTTTGTCACATAATAAGATCTCCGAGAGGGTCAGAACTTTATATATTATATAATCGAGCTCTAAGGGGGCAGAAATTTTTAATAATTCTGACCTCCTTAGAGCTTTAATTTTAGCTATTTTAAACTATATTTAAACAGGAAAGATTTTAAGAGTTAATTAACTTTAGATTATATTTAAACAATATTAAAAGTAAATTTAAACTAAATATATTTTAATATCTTTTATATATTATTAAATAATAAAGACTTAAAAAACTGTAGTAGTCACGTGATAAATCTCTAAGGGGGTCAGAAAATACTCCTCCTGATTTTTTAAGATTAGTAAAAAATAGCTCTGAGGGTCAGAAATTACAATATCACGTGAAGCGGCAGTATTTTTTCTGACCCCCTCGGAGATGGTTTCTCCGCCCCACCCTGACCCCCAGCCACTAAATCCTGACCCCCCCGGAGCTGTATGCCCTCCTAGGGCATTTGTGTACATATCGACCTTACAGTATGAAGTGTTGCAAATAAACGAGTACGAGAAATGCCGAACTCCTTGACCAGGGGGCATTTACTTTATGACAGACAGCTCTGTTAACATTGGATTTTGTCGGAGTAATTAAAGTGTTTGTTGGGGGGTTAGCTGTAGATGTTGGGACCGCAGTGATCGGATTCCTCCCCGGTGTCGGAGAGGAGGAAGACGTGGACGTCCCCGTCTTTTTTGTTTTGTTAGCAGTATATACCATTGAGAGGATGAAGAGAAATAGGTTCTCACTTGCTGTGATGGTGAGGTTGTTGTACTGGCAACCGTGGACGTCTGTGTCGAGACGCCAAATCCACAATGCTGGTAGATAAATAGCATCGAGGTTATGACGGTACGCCCGAGGCACGATGCGCCATAAATCTCACATAGGGATGCTTGTGATACAGCGTCCTCCTGACAGACACATGAGTAATACCCAGATGCCGTCGTACCGCTGTAAGATGAAGAACATTGGCTTGTTAGGAATTGCACACTCTGACATGCAGAAATTGCAGTACTTGTGCAGCTAGAATCGCTGTATGTGCCAGATGCATAGGTTGAGAGGATAGGGGTGGTCAGAGTAAAGGTGATCTTTGGGCCGCAGGTCTTGAGCCACTGTGTTCGCAAGTCATCAAAATAGTGATCATCATTGGGGCTCCTGGCGCACACGCGGGATTCGCTTTCGCAGCTATGGGGATTACATAAATTAGCATAAAATGCGAGAGAGTAGCAAGTCCTCTTTACTCACTCATTGATAGCATTAAACACCTCTTGCGTGCAAAAGCATGCCGCATACTCGACTGGGGTAGCCGAAGGTGGAAGGTTGCTACATTCGGAAATCTTTGAAGATAGCACATCACAACCAGTGAAGGTCACCGGTGTAAGACATGATGAAGCGGGGGGGCGGGAAATAGTTAGTTGGCCTGTGACTCGTTCGGTCAAGGCTAGTCCAAACGATATAACAACACAGAGGAATGACATAGCGCCCAACTGTTTGTTCTCGAAGGTGAAAATGTCTCATAAATGTCTGATTAAAGGTAAGAGATCGAGGTTGGGGCCAAAGAAATATGCCATTGATCTTTCTTTAAAAGGGCCTCTCTTTGAACCAGTGAATTCATGGACCAATCTAGGCTCAGCAATCGTACGAATCAGAAATACTGGTGCCTTGAGACGAATTCAAGTTATAGGATATGCTTAGGGGACGGATATGAGAGCCTCTGGCCTCTCATCATACTTTCTGGAGGATCCTTTCCAGGCTCTAATGTACCACTGCCCTGACTAAATATTCGTTCGTCTCGTACATGAAGATGTCAGTCCACTGACGGTGGCGTTCTAGGAAAACCCTACTTAGCTCTCTCTTCCCTGGTAGCCACCTTGCCTAACCCGGTGAGAATCTCCCATTGAGTCCAATACCGGCCAAGTCTAGTGATAAGAGCAGTGACGCGCTGTTTTCATATTCGTAATATGAGGCTCGTTATGGCGGAAGTGGGCCCCACCCCACATCACTTTGACATGTAGTATATTTGATTCATGATATCAAATTGTTCAGCCATGTCAATAATCATCATTAATAGACTGCGAAGGGGCTGGGCAGGCACACGAAAGGCGGGGGAAGCCAATCACCAGATTCAAAGTTCCTTCTTCCAAGGTTCCTCGAAACCTTCCGTAGGGCCTAGGCCAGGCATCCTGTGCTCACTAGAATGCAATAAATTGCTAGCTTCACTTAAGGCCCGAGATTATTGTTCTCCTCAATTGTTCTTACGAAACCTGTCAAGCAATTACCGAGATATTTGGAACGCAAACGCATTCATGCCCAGCTATATCGAGCCGGGTCTTCATGGCCTTTGGCATTTTCTCTTTCCCCCTACAAATCGTGAGAGGGGATGGCTTTCATGGCAGCTCATTCCCTCAGTAATTATTCTGTTTACTACACTCGAGATCGGACTGATTGTGAGCATCGAGGTCCTTCTCCGCCTATCTCAAAAGAACAATGGGTTTGTGACCGTCAACCTGCCCGACCCCAGCTTGGTCTCAGCAGATCCTTTCAAGCAATCCCATTGGACTCAGAAATATCTTTGGACCACTATACCCACATTCATCATCACACTTTACAAGCTGTGTTGGACCTCTATCTTCACTGAATTTTGCATTAGACAGCCCTTCATTGAGATGGCAAAGCCAGAAGGTTCCAGGGGAAAGAATACTGTTCTTTATGAGTCTCATTCTCCTTTTATTGCCTGGGCCTATGCTTTCAAAAACGGTCATCTTATGCTCGGGTCCACAATTCTGGCCTCATTTATTGCTCTCATCCTCCCTCCCCTGATGAGTAATCTCTTCTCCATGGGGGTCATCTCGCAGTCCTCACCTGCGAGTATGACAGTCATGACTTCATTTAATGACACAGCTGTTGACTCTAGAACAAATTATCAGACTGTGCTTAATGTCGTCTCAGCAGCACGTATCTATGGTGCGAGTCTTCCCCCCTGGACCACAGAGGAGTATTCTTTCCCAACATTTGCGCCTATAAGTGGGAAATTAACAGCCGCCGAAAACAGCAGCTTGGAGCTGGCAGCGTTCTCTGCGAATCTAGGTTGCCGAGACATGGCTTCCTCTAGCCAAGTCATCAATAGTTCGAAGGGCTTCATGTTCAGTGCAACCGATCGTGGCTGTCGGATCAATATGCAAACCCCGGCCACCGCTGGTGCAACTGTTTATATGAGGACTGCCTATATTGGAGATTGTGGCAGCAGTGCAGGCTTTCGTCGTCATGTCTTTTTATCAGCTCTTCTCGCAGACAACTCAACCTCTTCGGCAGCACCAATGCTGACCAATGTCAGTTTCATTTCATGCACAATGGAATACTACTGGACAGAGGGCACCCTTCTAGTCAGCTCACATGGAAAGCATGGAAGTACACCATCTATTGTGTCCTTCAAACCAACAGCAGAACCAGAAACCTGGCTTCCCACCTTCTGGGGCAGTCTCGAATTCATGATTCATCAAATCAACCAGTTTGATCCAACCGGGACCTATTCCTCTGATGGCTTGGGCCTATTGATCCTCGCGTACTCTGAGCAGCTAGCGGGATTATCTGGCCGTCTGCGTACCGACATTTTGATACAAGCCATCCAGGACATATATAAGTCCATACTTTCTGTATCAGGATCAACACTCTTCTTCCAGCCCATTCAAAATGCGAGTTCCCCAGTTGCTGGTCGAATCTATAAGCCTATCAACCGGCTTTTCGTCGAGGAAAGCACTGCCCATCTCATGCAGGGTATGCTCTCCTTTCTAACAGTATGGACTGTACTCGTCATGATATACTCGTTCTTCAGGCGCTCAATCCTGAGGGAAGAGCCATTAGGACTTCTCGGGGCTGCAGAACTTATCTACGGTGGTGATCTGAATGGCATCGCTGCTGCCTACAGGAACGATAAAGTGAAGTCGAAGGGTATTTTCCAGGATTTTATCGACAAGAATGGATATAAAGACATCAGGTTTAAGGTGACTAGTGATGAAACAGAGAGGCCAATAATTACCGTCGTAAAGTCTGGAGATTCGAGTAGTGAGAGAAGTTCCGTCATCTTGAACGGGCCTTAACAAAGACTTTTGAGTGATAGGGAGAATACTCAATTCAGTGCTTGAGCATCCGATGGAAATGTCTCGACTGGTTGCGATCTCTCAGCCCACAGCCACAGTCTCCCCACCGCAAAGGGCACGTAGCACCTAAGTCTGAAGGATCTTTTGAACAGCACCGTGCCAGTTTGCCCGTGTGTCGACGTTTTGTTGGTTACTTGGTTGTGTATTCATGATTCTGGTTCTTGCACACCTTGCTCTTCAATCGGTATATTATTCTAGTTAGGCTTCTTCACGGCCATCTTGGCCTAAGCCCACGATGAATTGGGCCTGACCCTGGATGCGCAAAAGCTGGGGGCCTGTGGCAGATACGCAATCTTAAATTGTTATTAAACCTTTCTTACGTATACCTCTAGTCATAAGTAATAAGTTCCTTACTATCTTTTCAACCACCTTCCTAAGACTACTAAAAGACAAAAGGCTGGATCGCTTCTCGCTACTTTCTGTAGACTATCGAAGAATGCCGTTTTCACTAACCAAAATTGGATCCCAACTACATTCAAAATGCACATTATGGCATTTTATTTGTTTAATAAAGGTTGAGCCAATAGGGACCAGATCCTGAGAGGCTCGCATAGAAAACATTTCAACGGGGTGTAATTACCTGGGTAGTTGGGTTTGTATATTCAGTAGGAATCGTAGCCGTGCGAGACCAGGCAGAAAGAAGACAGTTCGATTCTTTGATGGGTGTCCCGGTCAACCGTACTTTTTGAAATATACCACGTCAAGACAAAACACGAAAAAAAAGAAAAACATACAACAGGAGGGATTCGCTGGTGGTCACCCACCCAACTACTAACCTCCCGGCGTGTGGCTTAAGTACGGCTGAGCGGACGGGAAGCCCTGTTTTCCACACCCTGTGGTCGTATGTATCAGCTTTCTACTTTCAGAGGCTTAATTGGGGTCGAAATAATAACTGAAAGAAACTGCCACGGATATGGTGCATTCAGGCTTGTATATACAAGCTGTATAACCCAACTATCAGTGGTCTCAAATACGAATATCAGAGTGAAGTAGATTTACACTCAACGACAGCGTAATGTAAAGAACTTGGAGAGACTAGGATAGTTTGATATGGACGAAGTATATTTTCTCTCCTGCCATACTGCTGGCGGAATTGCTGAGCATGAGTTGCTCGGGTTGCTTCTTCCCGGCCAGGAGATATTTGTAGGTATATCTGACAAGTCGAAACTTCTTCTTTCTCTTCTTCTGGATATTAGAGGATATTGTAACCCCTAAATAAGCTAACGAACTTGCCAAAAGCTGAGTCGTGGATTGTCTCCTTGATGACTAGAGCATATTGGTGCCACCTTCACTATTTCAAGGATCCAAGCTCGAGTGACTTGTACCCTGAAGAAGATAGGTGAAAAAGCTACTGTCCTTGTGAGGACCAACGCCCTGAGCTTCTGTTCCGGAAGGTTGCGCAGGATCCGGTTGAGGATAAGCACTAATTCGAAGGGAATTAAAAGGAGGCTCATCTTTAAACAGCTTGAAAAGCTTCTGGGTTTAGATCTAGTGCTTCAGTAGTCAATGGAATAAATTGGTCTGCTAATGTCTTGATCTCTGCATGATACTTCTCGGTCGTTTTTCGTAGGCCCGGCATCTCTTCCTCAGGGAGCCACTTCGTTACTTCGTTGTGAGTGGTTAGAAATAATTTGCAAAATGGTGTCGATTCATACACTCGACAAAGCCTCACCGTCCATCTCGAGCTGAAAGAATGCCTTTGTCTAAAACTTACCCAGCTCAAATACTTGGTTCTAGTAAAGTGAGCTTTTACGTTAACTGTGCTATAGCGTAAGATTTATGGCATCTCAGGCCTGGCACCTATCAGGTTCCAGTTACAGGCTTCTGAGAGACCTAATAGCTTCAGTGCCCCCAAGGATCCCTAGTCACTCTTTCCCAAACACATACATCGCCCATGGCACCAACAATTCTTGGACTCCAGTCATACCCACTCATCAACAGCGGAACGAAGTCTTGAGCAGCACTCTCATATGCTGGGTCACTTTAGTGCACAGAGACCTTCTCATCCAGCTGAATCAACATATCTATGACCTAACACAAGTTACACAGATCTCGATCGGCATTCCTCCCAGCTTGCTATCCACTTAAGATAATGAAGAGTTAATCGTGTTTTCCGTTCCGTAATGGGGACAATCTTGAATAGCAATGTAACAAAGGCCCTGGAGGCCATCCGACCCATTGACACATGTATAGAAATCCGAAGTATTCAATTCATACTATAAGAATTATATTCGTGGTATCTTGTATTGGATCCTATATATACTATGTCTATGTTATTATAAATTATAATTTATATCTCTGTAACTCTACTGCTTGGCATGTATAGTTGACTGAGAATGAAATGATCACCCTCTCAGCCGAATTGCGGTATAAAACTTCTCCATTGGTAGGAAATTTGTGGAGCCCAGTTTTATTCGCCGTAGAAGACCGCGGCACGTTATGGCGCCCCGTAAAAGTACAGCTGTCCTCTTACCCCGCCCCCGCAGTATATATCATAGCTACTACTAGTATATGCCCTCCATTCTGATAGTCTTTTGGCTGGTGCTACATTTGTGTCCAATACCAATCCACGCACGGAGAAGAAAAGTGTCAAACCTCCTCGAGACATTTCCCAACCTTCAAAATGTTCGGGATGAAGCCTACTGAAGCTATGCCGGGTGGCCGGATCGTTCGGGTTGGTATCATAGGGTCGGTTAGAATTATAAACACCTTTGCACTTGCAACGCCCGCTAATGGATGGTAGATGTGGCATGGTCACGCAAGTCGTCCATGTGCCGTGTCTGAACTCCTTATCCCATCTCTTTCAGGTCACCTATCTTTGCGATGTCTCAGAGGAAGCTATGAAACATAGCATGCTCAAGGTCGCAGGTAGCTCGAGGCCGAAGACCACACAAAGCGTCGAAGAACTCTGCAACGCGCCGGACGTGGAGCTAGTATTGATCGCAAATAATCATGCTTTCCACGCCTCCGCCGCAGTTCTCGCGCTACAAGCAAACAAGTACGTCTTTATCGAGAAGCCGATTGCTTTGACGTTGCAAGATACGGACCGCATCATAGCTGCGGACAAGGCTGCAGGTGGCGCGAGAGTATTTATTGGTTACATGAGGAGGTATGCTGCGGCTTTCGTCGACGCAGTCAAAGAGGTTGCAAGCATTGAACAAATCCGTTATGCTCGCGTCCGAGATATCATTGGGCCTAACTCGGTCTTCGTGGCTCAATCCGGAACGTATCCAAGGACCTTTAACGACTATCGTGAGGCGGATTCCGAAGCGTTACGTACGAAAATCCATGATGACATGGAGCAAGCCCTCCACGCCGAGCTTGGAATCACTGTCACGAAGGAGACGGCTATGATGTGGGAGATGCTCTCTACTCTCGGTTCACACGATCTGAGTGCCATGCGGGAGATTATGGGTATGCCCAAAGGTGTCGTAGGATTTTCCCCTTGTGCCACTGTCGGGTCCCCCTTTTGGAGGTAAACTTTCACTTCCCATTCAAAACTCTGTCTTAGGTAGGCTAACGATGCCAGTGCAATTTTCCAATACCCTAATTTTGCGGTCGCATACGAGTCCGGTGTTGATCAGGTCGCAAGATTTGACGCCTCGATAGAGATTTTTGGTGACACCAAGACCGTCAAGGTGTGCATCGATTCCCCGTTCATCAAAGGCTTGCCGACAACAATGGTAGTCAAGGAGACTTCACCGGACGGGTCATATAGGGAGTCTACTACCCGGCGGACATACGAAGATCCTTTCATGCTCGAGTTGAAAGAGGTGTACCAATGGGTCGCGGAGGGGAAGATCCCAAAGACCACTCCGTCTGATGCTAGACAAGACCTTGAGATCTTGGGCATGCTTATGAAAGCTACGACGGCATGAAATACCTAACATCTTCCAGTGGAAAGTAGACAAAGTAATCACAAGTAAAGAAAGGCCAAGGAGAGGTCAATAGCTGTATAAAAGAAAAAAAAGAAAAAAAAAAGAAAAAGAAAAGAAAAGAAAAGTAAGGGGGCCGCGGTATTCAACACTCTGTCGGAGAGGCAGGCGTTTGTGCCCCACCTTCTATCACAAGTGCAGAAAGACCAGGAGCAATCAAGGAACGGTGCGAATCTCGCCATGAGAGGCGGGTGAAACTAGAATGGGACGCAGAAGGCAAACATCGAGACTTGCAATATGACTTTGCCCTCTAGCCCCCGAAGGGCAAATACTGGGTGTTGATTTACTCGGTATAATACAACCATCGACCAACCCAACTGAAGTCTATTGGTACACTATAGATTATCTGGTTGGCTTTGGTCGATAACAGCTTTTTATGGAATATTTAAATTGGTTCTTTTGATTAAGATTCTGTAAATTGGGTTATATATCCTCATTTGAGGGTCGAATTTAAACGAATGGTTTGCAAAACATACGTACATCCCCATTTCTTGACCTTCGAAACATCCCTATTCTTTCCAAGCGCTACTTGATAGACGCGATCGCCCGGGTAAGACCCACTAATGTGTTGTAATACCCCAGGAACAGCTATTGAAACGGGTATTTGGTTCGAAACAGTTCCCTCTTCCTACACCATATCAAACAAGCCCAATGGTGCTATCTTAGAATAATCGTGAAGGAAATGCTTAAGCGGCCTGCACAATATTCCCTAGACCGGGCTTGCTCTCCGTAATTCCCAGATTAATATGCTTGTGGTTGACACGAACATCGTCCACGAGTGCATCCAGCTTAGAATTACCGGGCTTGGTCTGCCGGGGCTTGGGGCCATCTGGGAAGAGCACCCCTCCGACTTCCTCGAGCGTCTTCCCACATGTTTCAGGGTATGTGAAATAAAGCTGAATCACCGTTAGGATACACATGACTCTGAAGACAATGAGCATCTTCCAGGTGATATACTGGAATCCATGAGGGACGTAGAGACCCAGTGCGAAGTTGAAGAGCCAGTTGCCAACGGCCGCAAGACCCATGCCGGTGGCACGAGTCTCGAGCAACCAGACCTCAGCTGCGTAGACCCAGCAGACGGGCACCAGAGGGAGAGCATAAATGATAATCAACAGATACAAAAAGGCGATGGCGGCGTGTGAGGGGGATCCAGTAACTCGAATCAACACGTTGGGGTTTCCGCCCACGCCTCCGGGGACATATTCGCCGGACGAGAGGATGCCGCCTACCAAAAAATGACAACAGCCCATAGCAATGGCCCGATAGATCAGGAGAGACGGTGAACATTCTCATCAATGAAGAAGAACATGATGGTCGTGAAAACAATGAAGAGCGCATACTGAATGGCTGAGGAGACGAGGTTGATGCTGCCGGTCAGGTTTGCCATCATGAAGGTGTATACGACATACGGCGCTGATTAGCTTGCTGATGGATATAAGGAATAGAGGACACATCGCGTTTGCCCACCGATCGTTGTGTTCAATAATTATTACCAAGGCGTCATTCCCACGGTTAATCTCCCATCCTAGCTAGTTGACAATCCCTTCCCAATGATCATGCTCTAACTATATCCATATCATATGACTAGGGCTACTACTAGCATTGCCACAGGTGCTGGATCATCATTACCCAATCCAGAAAAGTGGACTCGACGGACCTATCGAATTATAACATTCATAAATCGCGCAACTTTTCAGTTCAGCCCTCACAATTCCACAATATCGGAGACTTAATCCAAGCCAGTAATCTAGCTAGCTCGAGCGCTGAACGCCTAATGTACAACTTAGATTATTGGTGCTCGTCTTCATCGCTTCCAAAATGCTACCATGGGCGTGCAGATACGGCGGGACGCGTGTCCATCTTCTCATATCCAAAGGTTTAAGCCCCCGTGGAAATAACGACACTTCTGATCGCTGTATTCTATTTCTAGTAAATTGTAGAGGCCCATTTAGAGATTTTGGGATGCCCATATCCGAATCTGATAAGAGCGATATAGCTCTTCGTTTCTGTTCCACTCTCCCCTCTTTTCATCAGGCTATAACGTGTCTGCTTATATTTCGATATAATCTTCCTTTAACACTATAGCAGTAGTCAGACTTTTCCTAAGAGCAGGCTCAACCTTGGAAGACTATGGCTTCAGAGGCAGCCAGAGCAATATTGGATTCATGTCACGATATAACTATAGAAAAAAATACCCCCATATGAGATTTTATTAACCAAGCTCTTATTGATCTTAATTGTGAGGCTACTCCCTATAATTATTTTCAACGTACTCCCTTGCGTGCCTTTCCGTCTCCCTTTTGTCTAGAAAGTCTGCGCCCTTAGTTTCCGCTATATGAACAGCGAATGCACCAGCGGCAGCAGAAAGGAACTCCTTCGCCTTTGCATGGCTCAGCTCCTCTGGGCGCTGTTAGACTCTTCCTCCGTCAATCGAGATGGGAAATGCTACCTACCACCAGTAGAGGCCTTGTGTTCTTCCCATGCCTTCGAAGCCTCATATGATGCAGCTGCAGCAATGAGTTCATGAGAAAGATGCGCTTGATTGCCTTCCTCGGCATTTACAACCTGCTCATGGGCGTCCTCTATACTTCAAGTGTTAGGAGATAATAAACCCAGGGAAGAGCAAGTACACAAATGAGAAACTGACCATGGTGGTGGAAAAGACCCATGATGATATCTGAATTCTTTCGAAGTAGTCTTTTGGCTTGATTATTGAAAAGTAAGTAGTTTGCGGTTGAATTTTCTTTTAGCAATTATGGTTCAGAGAAGGGAATGGTGGATATTTACCACTGTTCAGCTGATCTTTACCCCTCCTCTAATATACTCACCGCTGACTAGGTTGTTAATGTATTTCCCTATAATTCGCGCTCATGCTGTTTTCACCCCACCTTCAGTCCCCCTCTTGATATCTTAGCGTTATGAGTGGGTATGAAGGCTAATAGGTTTTCGTTACCCTATGAGGATTACCAAATAGGAATGTAGAATACTGATACCGAGTAAAATATAGTTCACCTGAAACTACAGACAGGTGGCGGCTTGTCACAGTCATCCATATATACTCATAAAATGTATGTGTGATAAAGCGCAAGTCCATTCCCATACCACCTGCCTATAAATGGAGTCATAAGCGAAACAGAAAGGTTAGAATTCAGATATTAAAATACTCAAAGTCTAATAGGTATGTATGATCATCCCTCTTGGCTATTGAACCCGAGAAAGAGACTCCGCAAGTCACCCAGTGATATCCAACCTCGTCTGGCATGTCTGGAAAAGATGGATCCCAATGAATGTACAGCCGGTCTTAGAATGATAGTACTATCTCAAATTTATTTACCCTGCTCGTATATTAAAGCTGGTCTATCACGTTTTCTCATGAACCATGAAAATCAATAAACAATACATCATGATGTGGGTATATATATATCAGGCATTATACTGGCCGAAAGACTGCGCGGCAAGGAAACCCAATATCTGAAAAGTTAGATAGACTATTGAAATAAATAGGATAAAAAATACATGCAACAGGAGGGATTCGCTGGTGGTCACCCACCCAACTACTAACCTCCCGGCGTGTGGCTTAAGTACGGCTGAGCGGACGGGAAGCCCTGTTCTCCACACCCTATGGTCGTATGTGCTAGTTTTTAGCTTGCAGAGAATTTTATAGGGATTTCAAAGGGGTGAACTCAGCATGATATACCATGGTTATATTCTGGGAATCTTCCAATATTAAGCCGTGTACTGGATTATAAACCTAAGATATAAACTTTATTACATCATTGAGGGGTACTTGTTCTTCCCGACTGTAATTTATGTGCATCCTCCGTATATACCTCGTGCATAGGGAAAGCTCCATTATTCAAATTAGTTTGTTTTCAATCTCTAGCTGAATATATATATTACGTCTCCACCATTCTACGATGACCACCAGATTAGGGATTGTTCTTCTGACTTTCGTGTTTACTCCGTCGATCTGGAGCCGGCAAACCCCAACATGTCTTTCTCCAGCTAGTAACGGTGGCCCTCCCAATAAAGCCGCCTGCTGCCCAGGAACTGGCCGACAAGAGGAGTCCGTCGATGGAGTTATCTACAAATATGTCTGCAATCACTACGCAATAACCGCTAATGTGCATTATTACGAGGTCTTGAATGCATATGAATGTGCCAAGAGGTGCTCCGAGGAGGCGGGATTATGTCATGCCGCATCATGGAAGCCAAAGGCTAGCAGTCACCAAGGGGGGAATTGCTTCTTGGCTATGGCAGATTTTGTAGAGAAGTTTGATCGAAATGGAGAGTGGTTGCTCCTGGTCCGGACAGATCGAACGGGGCCAGCTGCTGGTGACCAGTCTACTCCCCACCCACTCCCCGATTGCCAGGATACGGTGGACGAAGCCTGGGTAGAGTGTCAAACAGTTGCTGATGAGGACTGCGAGATGAGGACAACATCCATGCAGCAGCAGCTGGATGCGAAAGATGCGGACCTTGTGAATTGTAAGCATCTCCAAAGCCTTTCGCTCTATACCGTTGCAACCACTGACTTTTTCTTCTGCAGGTGGTCGCGGGGTGAATCCGTCCATCTATATAAGCAGGAGTCGCAAACCCTATAGGGCCTGGTGCAGGAGAGGTAAGTTTAATACTATCGGGTTTCCTAAAAGTGGCTGAAGACCGTTCCAACCTTAAATAGCACTTTCCCAAGTAGTCAATACAGGTGGGATTAATTTCGGCAGGACGAAAGGGCTCAATGAATGCCTAAGTTTATGTGATAGGCATAGCAGATGCAAAGCACTCACTTATTGGGTACACAAAGGACGGTGTGACGGCCTCTCAACTAACCCTGTACCGACCCTTGAACGAACTATGGCCATCACCCTAACCCGTGTGTAAGGGTCTTATGAGTTATAAAACAGCTCATTGGGCTTGATCAATAGATGGCATGTGAGGGCCCCTAGCGAGAATTGAATATAATCCAACACTCCAAGTTGCAAATCTCGAGGCTATTTTATTATTTGCTTTCTTTTCCGACACCTGATAGAAATATTGGGACTACTGTCACCCCATAGTTAATATCACATCGCATTGCCGCTTCTTTTTTTGTTTTTGGACTGGCGTTTGGTGGTTATATTTATTCTACTATTCAATGAATACACATGTCTCCGACGAGAACCCCAAGTAGCTGTTCTTTCTGTGAAGCATACATGACTGGTTCCTTATATCTTGCTGTTCCATAGAGGCCAGATCATGTTTCAGTATGAAGTACATGAAATATCAAAATAAACACCCAAAGAAGGAGAGGTAAATATAATCCCCCAAAGATCTTTATTCTTCCAACCCCATGCGCGTACATCATCAATTAGGGTTCCATTACTCATGTGCATGACTCGACCAGCATCATATATCTCAACAGATCAACTACTGAGTAAACAAGCCATCCTCCCGCGGCTTGGACATTGTGCAGCCCTCTACTTTATCGGACCCCTCTTCATCTGAAGAACTTAGTAAAATTTGAGGCTGGGGCTCTATCGTGACCATTTCATATTGCAACTGGCTGCATTGTAACAGCTGTTATTTGGCTCATATATCAAGGGACATTCTTTCATAGTATTTGAAGTTGGCATGATATTTTATGGTCTCTATTTTAGTTCTAGGACGTGAGAGCTTCACTAGGATGGTGCTCCAATGCTCGCAAAACAATAACCATACAGTGTATTGCCCAACGAAACCAGGTATTTTTGAGAAGATAAAAGGAAAGAAAATGTCTATTAATGCCAGGCACTGGGGCCTACACAATTCGTCTCTCATAAAGATTTGATTTAAGCGCTGCTTTCGGCCTTGATGTCTTCTTCCGCTTGGCGTTTCACGATCTCCCGGACTTTCTCCCACGAATTCTCGACTGTTGTAACTCTCGTTTCCTTTTGTGCGAAAGCCTTGAACTCGTCGGGAAGCACCTGTTCATCGAAGTTGAAGCCGGCCTCGCCCTTCAGCGCCGATTCGACGACCTCGGAGAATTTGGCGGGGTGAGCAGTGGAGAGCGAGATGTGATGGACGTTAGAGCCAGTCTTAGCAAGCGACCTCTTCGCAACGGTAACACCAACGGCCGAATGGGGATCAAGAACATATTTAGTCTCCTGGTAGCAAGACTTGATAGTTTCAACCGTCTCAGGGTTGCTCACACGGTCGCTGTCAAAGGTCGACCGTCCGTTTTCTAACAAGTCCTTATCTACAGGCCCGAAGCCGCCTGTAGCCTTCAATGATTGGTACCAGGCCAAAACCTCTTCACCGGCCTTCTTCTTGCTGGACACATCGTCCAGGCCGGCTGCCGCTGCTTGTTCTATGATCAGTCAGCATGCGATCCAAAGACAAATATAACGTAGGGTATACCTTTCGCGAGGAACCACATGAGTCTCTCAAAGTTGCTGGAGACCAGAATATCCATTGCAGGGCTTGGCGTCTCCTTGCAAGCCTCGGCTTTCACGGTGCCATCGGCCTGCTGTTCCTGAACAGGGTTCTTCTCGTAGCGACCAGTCGTCCAGAAGCGGTGCAGGATATCATTCTCATTCGTTGCCACGACTAGCTTGTCGGCGGGGAGACCCATCTTCGTTGCGAAGTAACCCGCAAGGATGTTGCCGAAGTTTCCAGTGGGAGTCACGAATCTGACCTTGTCACCCACCTTGAACGTCGGGGACTTTCTCGCAAGCGAGAAGTAGGCGTAGAAGTAGAATACGATCTGGGCGAGGATTCTCGAGAAGTTGATCGAGTTGACGGCACCGAGCTTCAAAGCCTCGTTGCTATCGGGATCGTTAAACATAGCCTTGACAATATCCTGTTGCCCTGTCAGTCTTGTTGTCCCGCAATTCTAATATGCTCAAAACCTACCTGGCAATCGTCGAATGTTCCCGTCACGGCAAGGTTGTGGACATTCCTGTCTGTGCAGGTGGTCATCTGCGCCTCTTGGATAGGGCTGACGCGGCCCTTGGGATGTAAGATGACTACCGACACGTCCTTCTTGCCCCTAAGACCGTAAATTGCGGCAGATCCAGTCTATATCCACGGTTAACGCCGGTGCTAGACGAAGGGCACACTAATAAGACTTACATCACCGCTCGTCGCGCCGACGACTGTCAAATGATGCCTGTCTGCTAGTTGATCAGCTCCACCATATCGCCACAGACCAGGGGCTTCCAAGCGCGCACCTTGTCCAACCTTTCCTTGGTTCTTCCGCACGAGGAGGTATTCGAAAAGATTTCCCAGAAACTGCAAGGCACCTAATATTGTCTCAGCACAATGACACCACGATAACCTCAGGGAACATACAGTCTTTGAAAGAGTAGCTTGGGCCATGGAATAGTTCGAGAAGATACAAGTTGTCATCCTGCAGATGCGTCAAGGGGACAACATCGTCTGCACGGAATGTCGAGTAGCTCCGTTCAATGATACCTTTCAGGTCCTCCGGCGGAATCTCGGAGGGGGAGATATACAAGCTAAAGATCTTGAAGGCGAGTTCGGCGTAGGAGAGATCCTTCCAACTTTGCTGCAATCTATTGTTAGCCTCGGATCCCGGTGAACCATTTCGAAGGCTTGAAATGAAGATTCCAGAATGAAGTATTCATGTGCCATTGAGTAAACATACCCAGTCGTTCGCGATTGGGACTTCGTGAGGCAAGAAGAGACCGCCATCCGCAGCGAGTCCCTTCAAGACAACGGTCTCGAAGGAGAGCTTAGGGAAAATCAGTGAACCGTCAACGTATGACTCATGTTTAGAAGACGCACGCCATAGTCACCACCTCTGGTGGAGAGGAATTTTTGGGATTCCGTCGGAGCTGTACTTGTCATATTGTTTGCTATGATGTTGTAATGCTTGCGCTGAGGAATGCCTCCTGCTGATGGATTTCTGCGCTGGAAAGTTTGTGACTGCGATGGCGATGGCGATATCGGCCAGTCGGACGAGGGGTTGATCGGGAACATTGATTGTCCGGTTGCGCCGTTGCCTCATTACTGGAAATAGAAGGCGGTCGGAGTTTTTGCTGGCCCACGTGGAGCGCCCAATTCCTCCACCGGCTTCACCGCCCTCAGCATGACTCACTATCTTATCAGTACTGCCCCCTCCTTTGTCTACCTTGTGCAGCGGGATGTCAAAATTTAGACACTGCCTACTTGACCGCCCTCCATACCGCTTTATTTTACCCTACTAGATTCATGCTTGGCCCATATACATGTCCATCTACGCATTAATTTATAGCTCCTAGACAGGAGCTAGATGTCAGTTACTGATACAGTTAACTGGCATAATAACTATCAAGGCCTAGGTACGCATTTTGGAAGGTTACACCCGACAGAATGATACAACAAGGAAGGCGGTTATATCAGGCAATAAATGCTTGTACCAAGGTATGTAGTCATAGCACTTCCGGATGTTCAACATATACAACCAGCGCTTCTAAAAAGATATCATGATACATCAAGGCTTCTTGAAAGACACATTTATCCCATTCTTCCACTTTTTGTCATCAATCTACCATTGTAACCTGAGTTGCTGTACACTATACCTAATTACTATATCAATAATATATTCTGATACCTTGGGCAGTCATAGACTATTCTGGATATTGTCAAAAAGAATAAATGCGGAAAAGAAATTACTAAAGCTTAACCGTTACTAATAAGTATGTCTTCAGTCTCTGTTGCACTACCACAATGTAATTAACGATGGTCGAGATTTTTAAAACGTTACCTGCGTCCATAAGTCTAATATTCAAGTCCCCTCAAGCCCAGCCAGACCTTGCTATTTTGTTACAAAAGGAAAAAGAACGGAACTGGATGTCAGGACAAGACGCTAACTTTACCAACACTACCAGGAAGAGCCCAATATGCACTTGCATCCTCCAGAAGACCATAAATCGTATTGTAACCTCAGGCAATTAAGACCACTAAATACACAAAGCTTGATCTGATTTTATTTTTATTTTTATTAATTCATAAGCCTCAGACAGTCCAGGGTCCGATTCCCATTATCTAACTTCAAATGTATGAGCATTCTACGTTTTCGACCAGGGCATATGTGGGAAGTGCTAGGTGGTCGATTGTAGTGCTCCCGGGTTGCGGATATTGGTGTTCGAAACCATGTCAAAGAGAAGACAGCGCTTATATTGGCCAGCCAAGGAGTTCCGAAAAAAGGGAGACTGGTGATATTCTGTCGTAGAGCGAGTGGGCTAGTGAGTTAGTCGACTCGGGGTAGGGTACGGGTCGTCGTTTGAGCTACCAGATTTAGTCGTGATTTATAAGCTGGGTGAGAGATCTAAGGATAAGATGCCGAGACGGACTTATATGGCCCGAGTCCCTTAAGTAGCCCGAACTGTATATTCCGTGGATGGACGCTTCGGGAAATTGTCCTGTCAAGGAGGAGTCTTTTCCTTACAAAGGCATTTCCCATGACCTGCGGGGCCCCTCAAAGGGATATGCTGGATAATACACACCTTTCGCTATCTTAAGTGTTACTCTCAAGAGTACTACGCCTATCATGTGAAATATGTTGATACCTTTACTGCTGCTTTAGAGGCGTTTGAGCTGAATTTCGAGCTCAGCTTTCGGCGGGCCTCCTCAAATTGATTTCTTAATACACCTACCAACTGGGGACGGACCTGATTTACGTTGTGAACATGGACAAGCCACCTCTTTTTGAAAAGTCTTAAACGCTACAAGGGCCGCTATTATGTAGCATGTATGGTTGATGTCATTCGTGACAACATTAGCGCGGAGTCTTCACCGTCCAGGCCTGCCTATAGTTAGTTATGACCGGGGCGCCCCAGACATCATATGCCGTTTGTCAGGCAGACTTGGCTCTTGCCCAGCACACATCAAAAGAGTTTGTATTCTCTTATACCATCTCCGACACTAGACCGATTGTAATTCACTAGAGTCCTAGCCCTTTGTTCGGGGGGTTTTCCGACGTTATACGAGATTAGGTGGAGGTTAGCACTAGCGCCACAGTTCGAGTATATTCGGTTTTCAGCTGTCCCGTGCGAGATCCACTTCATAATAAGCAACTTACATATATCCCCGGACAAATATCGGTGGTATCACCGTATGATTGTTTCCGTGTTGGAGATAGGTATTGGGTGAATTCATTGCCGGATATCAATGCCGCGCGAGTAATGCTGGTAGATTATGCATTGAAATCTCGGCATCCCGCCGATGTGATTGAGGGAGCCAAGACATTCCTCCCAAAGCCACCCCACGCTTGAAGTAAACTATCTGGGGTACATCCAATGAGGACACTTCCCCCCTCCGGCTAAACTTCGGTATCCTGCTCTTTGTCTGTGTTCGGGCCAGTTTCCTTTGAGTCTTCGGATTTTGCTCACCGGCGTCAGTGCTTGTTTTCGGCATAATCTACGACAACTTACGCACGGATAGAAGACGAGTTACCACACGAACGCGGTCATTAGGTCGACTTCATGACGTCAGGCTACCACATTAGAATTGCTTTTTCTTCGTCTCGGCATGTCTGGGGTCAACGTTCCGTAGGTACATGTGAGGTTCAAGGAGAGATCGTCGAATCTTGTCCTCTCCAATTGGTCCCCAATAGTCCGAATGCGGAACGTCCCGACAGTTTCTACTCCAAGGAATACAACAATTGGTGTACTAATAGTTTAGCACGGGTCTCTCATGGATTTATATCCGTACTCCGTATATCCTGAGCCGACCTCGGACTGGGAAGGGAAACCAACACTAGGAGTGATTAATACTCGCTGTGAGGAATGCTGTAGGGAGATGGAGCAAGAGATGATGTTGATGATGTTAACATTGATTAAGAAAAGGCTATAGGAGCAACAAGGTATATCCGTGGTCTCTCGCATATTCCCCGTGCTCACTGCGATGCTGGCCGAAAAGGCGATAAAAAAACTCTGCAAAAATCACCCCGCGAACGGAATGTGGGGAACGGAGTTGCGGGGAACCCTGCCGACCACGCGATTCGAAGCCCCGTGGGGTTGTGGGTCCCGTTGAACCAGCCATCAATTCCCTCAACAATACTCCATACTATGGACCTTTACGGAAAGCGACTCCCCATCGGCTTGTAAGACTTTTTTCTGTAGCCGTTGGGAGAACTATAAGTAGCAGCTGCTGTCCGACAATGGCTTGCGAGATGACTTCTGTAGAGCTGCTTTTCAGGTCCGACTACAACCCAGGTGCGAACCATGGCTAGCGTTGCTCAACTTGTTGTCTCGGGCTTGTTGGCTGCTACTGCGGTCAACGGCCAGAACTACGGCGGATCTGGTCGAAGCGATGACGCTTTCAGTTATGTCCAACCCCGTAACACGACTATCCTTGGCCAGTACGGACATTCGCCCGCTGTCCTTCCGTCGCGTATGTCCCCCAATCCACAACTTAACCTATGATCCGGTGTGACTGACTTGGGTAATAGCCAATGCGACCGGATCAGGTGGCTGGGAAGAAGCCCTTGCCAAAGCCCAGCAATTTGTTGCCCAGTTGACGCTCGAAGAGAAGGCCGACATGGTCACCGGTCAGCCCGGGCCTTGCGTTGGAAATATCGTGGCAATCCCTCGACTGGGCTTTAAGGGTCTTTGCTTACAGGATGGACCCTTGGCCATTCGTGTCGCTGACTATGCTAGCGTCTTCTCGGCTGGTGTCACGGCGGCATCGACTTGGGACAAAGACATTTTGTATGAACGAGGAGCGGCTATGGGAGAAGAGTTCAAGGGTAAAGGTGCCCATGTCGCTCTCGGCCCTGTAGCTGGCCCTCTCGGACGCTCGGGATACGGAGGCAGAAACTGGGAGGGCTTTGCAGCAGACCCTTACCTGACTGGTGTCGCCATGGAGCTTACCATCAAGGGTTACCAGGATGTCGGCGTTCAAGCCTGTGCGAAGCACTTTATCGGCAATGAACAAGAGACCCAACGCAATCCGAACTATAACCCTAACGGCACCTTAACAGATGTTATCCAGGAAGCTGTTTCCTCCAATATCGACGACCGAACTATTCACGAGCTATACCTCTGGCCATTCGCCAACGCCGCCCGTGCCAAGGTGGCTAGCGTTATGTGCGCATACCAGCGCCTCAACGGCTCCTATGCCTGCCAGAACTCGAAGGTCCTTAATGGCCTCCTTAAGGAGGAGCTCGGCTTCCAAGGCTATGTCCAGTCTGATTGGGGAGGTACTCACTCTGGCGTCGCCTCTATTGAAGGTGGTCTTGATATGAACATGCCGGGAGGTCTCGGGCCGTACGGCCAAACCCCCGAAGCAGGCTCCTTCTTTGGGAAGAACATTACCCTGGCTGTTAACAATGGAACTGTTGATGTTTCTCGCGTGGATGATATGATTGTCCGTATCATGACACCTTATTACTGGCTCGGCCAGGACCAAGACTACCCCGAGATTGACCCTTCGTCTGCGGACCTCAACACATTCTCACCTCGGTCTACCTGGCTTCGCGAGTTTAACCTGACTGGAGAGCGCAGTCGTGATGTCCGTGGTGACCATGGCAAGCTGATCCGTAGACACGGGGCTGAAGCCACTATCTTACTCAAGAACGAGAACAAGGCCCTGCCCTTGAAGGCTCCCAAGTCAATTGCTGTCTTTGGTAATGATGCTGGCGAGACTACCATGGGCGCTGTCAACCAGGCCACCTTTGAATATGGTACCCTTGCTGCCGGTGGCGGCTCAGGAACCGGCCGTTTCACGTATCTGGTCTCACCGCTGGAGGCTCTCAAGTCCCGCGGTAAGCAGGACAATACTCTGGTTCAGTGGTGGCTGAACAACACCAACATCGCCGAGTCAGACGTAACTAGCCTTTGGGTACCCACTCCACCTGACGCCTGCCTCGTCTTCCTCAAGACCTGGGCCGAAGAGGGCTCGGACCGCGAGCGACTCGTGGTGGATTGGGATGGAAACGACGTTGTCGACTCTGTCGCTTCGAAGTGTAACAACACTATCGTCGTTACCCACTCCTCTGGCATCAACGAGCTTCCTTTCGCCAATCACCCGAACGTCACTGCCATTCTCGCCGCTCACTACCCCGGACAGGAGTCTGGTAACTCCATTGTTGATGTGCTCTACGGCGATGTCAACCCCTCTGGAAAGTTGCCATACACAATTGCTAAGAACGGTAGCGATTACAATGCGCCTCCCACGACGGCCGTAGAGACTACCGGCGCAGAGGATTGGCAGGCATGGTTCGACGAGAAGCTCGAGATCGATTACCGTTACTTCGATGCCCACAACATCTCCGTGCTTTACGAATTCGGATTCGGTCTGTCTTACACGACCTTCGGTCTTTCCGATATCAAAGCTGAGGCGCTGACGGACTCTATTTCCTCGGCCCCCGAACAACTGCCTATCCAGCCCGGTGGAAACCCTGCCCTGTGGGAGAGTCTATACAACGTGTCCGTTGTTGTCACAAACTCTGGTGATGTAAACGGAGCGACAGTCCCTCAGCTCTACGTTACCTTCCCGGATAGTGCCCCTGCTGGAACTCCTCCCAAGCAGCTCCGAGGATTTGACAAGGTGTCCCTGGCACCTGGTACGTCGCGCACTGTTGGCTTTGAGCTCATGCGCAGAGACCTGAGCTACTGGGATGTCGTCTCGCAAGACTGGTTGATTCCTGAGGGTGAGTTCACCATCCGGGTGGGTTTCAGCAGCAGAGACCTGAGCCAGGAGACGAAGATTACTCCTGTGACCGCTTGAGGGGGGGATATAAAGCATAATGGTGCTATGTGATGATGAAAACGTGAAATGAGTTTATGTACCTCATTAGTAATATAACCCATGCTGTTATATAGAGGCTATAATAACAACCTATCTAATGGTTCACGCAATATATACAAGATGCTCATGGTACTCCCTTTTATCATGTCGCTTCACCTTCAGTAAGTGGTTAGCGGGTGGACATGTAGATACATAGGTCCAAGCTATCACAAGTAGAGCGCCAAATATACAACTTCGGAGCAAGTCAGACAAAAGAGCCTGGAATCCCCTCACTAAGGAGAATATTACACAGGCTAAAGTCCATAAAATCACCCATCGGAGACAACGGATCTGCGATCGAAAAGCCCGCCCCCCCGGAATCATCTGACGGCGAGGCAAAGCTGGGCCCGGTCGCATGTTCAGAGAATGTATGGTTTCCTACAAAATCGTGGATTTCACCAGTACAACCGATATCTCTCGCCATTTTCCTGCTGCTGCCTGGGTGTTGGCGGTGTCCTGGCTTCTGCTTTGTGTGTGTATTCATTCGTTTCCGTCGACGGGTCTCCCACTGGCGCTGCAAGGTGCTGAGAAATGTGCTCGTGCGTTTCGCATTCTCTAGGCTGCTTCCCATCTCTTCTAATGCACGGAAACATGTATTAAGGTACCTGACGAGGTCCTGGTTTCTTAGGCTTCGTTTTGAAGGTACTGTTATGAAGATCAAGATGAGCGCAGCGGAAAAGATGAACGAAACCATTTGGACATTTGCCCGGCGGAAGGTGTATAGGTTCTCATGTATTGTTAAGAGTTTAACGATAGAAATGGCGGATTCCACACACATCTTGCGAGCATGGCGTGGCCCGGGGCCTTGTGGGGGTTGTGGCTGGATGTAATGTTTTGACATGTATGGTCGATGACAGTGAATCATGAACTGGTAGTATTGCATACTTGGATGGTTATTAGGCTTCTGCGTAGGTAATTAGTCTGGGTAGTTGCGGTAACTTACTGGAGAGATAGTATATGTGGAACTGGCGGTTGGCTGATGGGGCGGCCCTCAACGCGAAGCTCAGGCGGAAGGTTCTTCTTCCACACTCTTAGATTCTGCACCGTATTGGCAGTGAGAACCTGAAGGGAATGGTTGGATACTTCCGAAACTCCGTATCTAGACGGTGTGGGAATTAGCCAAATGTTAATAGGTGGAATCAACGTGCGGCTCACTCACAAAACGTCTGTCAAGGGTAGCATCATATCGTACAGAGACACCCATCGAGAACATATCAGATCGCAAGGAACCATGGCATAAGGTGACATGCTCAATGTCGGGTACGCTTTCCATTTTATTGCGGGAAGTGGGCTAGATGAACCTGGCTTGGGGGCAGAGACACCACTCATAGGGCTCTGCGGGGAGCGCCCTAGATAGAACCCCCAAAATCTGATGAGTTAGCGATGAGCTGTAACGCCAAGAGCACACATCTTACTGTTCACTAAGATAAACTCCCCAGAATACCATCCGGCGCAGGTCAGCCTCCTCTGGTGATATTATCCCTTTTTCCACATAAGGCGTCATATCTACTTGGAGACCGAGGTCAAACGCAAGTCTCATCGCCATCCCTAGTCTTTGTTAATATAAGGCGAACATTTGGCTTGCTCCATACGCTCACCACTGTACAGCCAACAACGAGTATCTCTGGTACAAGCTGCCTCGTAGCTGCTCAAAACTACGAGTCCTTGGATGGTTGCAACAGTGGGATTCTCCATTTCAAGCTCGAGCAGTAACTTTGCCCTATCGCCGAAAAATTCGGACAGCGAGCGGGGAAAGGTTACTAGGTCCGGATGATATTTTGATTCATGTGCTGCGCCTAATGCACACATGGCATTAGACAAAGCACGAGAATAGTACTGCGTGGATATGCCTTCGTCTAGAGAACGTGACTGAGCTTTCCAGAAGACGTCCATATCGACCACATGTAGCCACGGGTCTTGCCATGCAAAATAGAGCTCAATCAGATGCCGCTCGAGTTCTTCATCCACGTGCATATTAAGATCCGCGTTTCCAAGAACCTCTTGCGCGTCTCTCTGGAAAGAGTCTGAGCTGGGCGATATAACGCCCACCAAGGCGTCTAATAAAGTCAGATTAGATGTTGAACCAAAATATCGGAGCTGGCCATGATGTGTGAGCTGTAGCCGTCCCAGACGACAAGACATCTGGTTAGTTACTTCCTCGTCACTGTCAGAGTCATTGTCATTCGGCTCAGGTGGAGCGGCCATCGGTTCAAGTGGAGGTGCATTCAATGAAGTGTCTTGTTCCAATGAAGTCGGATACATGGGATCTTGAGTTTGAGAATGCGGTATATTATCTTCTACGATGACTTGACGAGGTGCGTCGCCTTCCACTAAGTGCGCCCCAACGCTGGCATTTTCGTCAACTTGGTGGGGAGCTTCCTGCCCATCACGCACAACATCCATGGAAACGCCATAGTCCCTCCTCGCTGGACCATTACCTCCTGCGTCTTCTGGCTGTGGAAGTTCCAATACAGACACATTATTGTTATTAGTAAATGCGATATCACTATGAATCTGTTGATCAGATAATATCCCAACATGCCCGTCGCTCTCCCGGAAATCTTCACAGCTAATTTCAAGAGCGTCAAGAATATTCTTGACAGCAGCATGGCCTTCGTCATTCATCTTTGGTTTCTGGAGGCCATGGTCCCGGATATAACGCGACAGCTGGTCAACTCTCTGTGTTAGGAAGCTAACGGCGATTCGCACAGGGACCTTGCGTTTGTCATCAGTTTGTCGATAGCTACAGTCTTTCCCTTTTATTCGACAATTTTTACACGTTGGGGTGTTTCCATCACACTGTTACTGGTCAGCTTAGAGCCATTCACAGGTTAGGCAGTAGGCTTCCGACTTTCACTTTCCCGTCCCTGCAGGGGATGCATGCTGTAGTGACATGCTTGCGAACGGCTTTGGGGGCCCTATTTCGCGGCGTCATATCCTGAGTGTCTTAATAGTAATAGTATCTACTATCATCGTTAGAAACATAGAAACGGTGGTCTAAGATGATGACTTTTTGGGCCCGGGATTCAAATTCCGGATGAGTAATCATGGGTTTTAAATCCGGAGCGCGAGAGAGCGCCTCACGTGATGTCTATATACCAACGATTCGAGAGATACAGTTAAGCAGGAGGAAAGAGTCGTTCTAGAACCAGTGGAATAGATGTTTCCATGGTCCAGGGACTGCAAGCAGATTCATACAATGGCGAAGCCTGGGATTTGGGTCGTAATAATTCTCTATCCAAATATATATTAATAGATTGTACCGGCATAGCAGTTTCAATTTTGAAATTATTTGTACAGTCAGATACTATACAGTTGCTACGTTAATGCAGAGTAGTTTTCAGGTAGACCTAAAAAACAGAACTAGTGTCAGACTTACAGTGGCATAAATTAGCCATTCGCTGGGTTAGCCAGGACTGGTCTAAGCAGGTAGTCTAGCAGAGCTAATACACGGGGGAATCCCACGTAATTAGGGTATAGGGTTAGAAATCCTTTTTTCCACATTTTTTTTCTTTTCCCCTATAGACCTAGATAAGTATTGATCTGTAGTTATGGCACAAAAAAGCTGATCCGCAATCGTAGGACGTACCTCCAAGAGGCTTTTATACTTTTGTCAAATATTAGATACATTTGAGCTTACATCATGTTCTCCTATTATATATCAGACAAGGCACGAAATAGGACTACAAATATCCGAACAAATAAAACTCATGTTAGTTCTTGGACCTGGCGCAAAGGTCGACGCAGTAACAATATCATGACTCGAATACCCAACACCAAGCTTTATAGCTTACCTTCCCACAAGGCCAATAGTTTCGGCTTCATGGATGTATCTTAAGATGCCAAGCCTCACTGCCGATAGTACGCTGATTTAGCATTTTTGATTGCCTTGGTCTATGACATCGCTGTCAGTATGCCATGGAAATGGAAGAAGATACGGACGAGGAGAACTTACTGTAATCATGGCGGTCATCATCTTTCCATACCCACCAACCTCGTGAAGTTTGATACCAGTCATTACAAGATCGAGTTAGCACTGATCCCGGTTGTTTGTTGACATGGTATGCAGTCAGAGCTTACTGAGACTTGCTTTCCACTCCAATTTGTCTCCTTGTGGCAGCTTTCCTTCTTGTACTTCTCGTTTTTGCAAGGACAATTGTAGTAGTCAAAGTCCCAACCTAAATTGCATCAATACTCTTCTTGCTTACTCGATTTGTCCCTCCATCAGAGGGTCTCTGTATCCGCTTCCAGCTCCGCAAAGGAGAGAGCAAGAACAAGAGGAAAGAGGGCGGTACAAAGCTAGAGTGGTAACTCCACATTTACAAGAAAGTTTGTAGAGCAGAGTCTCTTTTCCGTTAATTAAACTGCTGCTTGAAGAGCTGTTCGATGTTTGAAAGATTTGGATAAGTATATCGTCCCGCTACTTAACAAGATGGAGTACATCGGGCCCACAAAGCCTCTGTGACATCTAGCTTCTTTGCACCTCTTGGCGCCTTAGTAGTATGACTTGAAAAGGTCGGTCTAGAACTGTCTATATTTAATTTTACCCTTTGGGTCAGATCTCAATCTGGTTTTGGTAGTCACTGCGCAGCGGGCCTCCCGTATTGTTCTCGTAGGCTGGACCATGAAAGAAGTGACAGATGTACCGAGGAGAGCAACGTTGAGATTTAGATTTCACAGCTACCAATTCACCACTGTTTCTGTGATTCTCAGATATCGTGAATCTCTGAACAAAGGACGTCGCTTTTCTCCAGTGGAGCCTTTGCTGGGACTAGATCGAAATATGGACCCAAGAGCGCCAAGTCTCTACCCTTGGTATTCGATCTTGGCAGCATAGTATTGAATCTGTCAGATCCCGTAATTTGCTGGTTTACTTCCATGGTGCGCAACTGGCGCATGACAAGAGTAGGATTCGATTTGTTCCGTTATTACACAAGCTTTGAATTCGGTCAGTGGCAGCTAGAACGCATTGCTCTCCATACCAATGTCGGTGGGAGCTCCACTTACCTGCTTTCTCTTGCGATATTTTGCGAGTTCATTAATGATATTCTGAATCCATAATACGAATACCTATAACAAGTATAAAGTGTACTGTTTGTGAAGAGGGAACTAGTTCTATATGAGTACTAGCTCCAGGGCAATAAACGGGTACTAGCTAGACAGGCCAAGTTAGTTATGTGGATCTAATACTTTGCTAGATCTAAAAGTATCCTTCATCGTTCTTCGGATCTAGGATTACGTTTGCCAGCCCTCAGACTTGTTTGGGACCATGTGCGCAAGAATTGGACTGGGAAACCAAAGTCCATTGTCACCCGCGTAGTCCTGAAGCTCAGATATAATGCCCGACTAAGAAACAGCCATTAAGATTGTGGTGCTTGCTTGACTTTTGAGTTTATTTTATACTTTACCTTAGAATTTTATCATAAGCAGTTAATGATTGCTTGGTATATTACCTATCGACGTCAGTTATATAAAAATAAAATCCACAGATCCATGGAGGTGCATGTATGGAGAATTCTACCCGATATGAGAATCTGTAACCTGATTTAGTCTATTCCTACTTATCTTCGGCGCTTATTGTATTTTCATGCACGTTCAAGTATTTTTTTTTTTTAAAAGGGCATGACTAATGAGTAATTACCTATTCGTCCCATCATATGATACAATCTCTTATCAACTGACTGTGTTGAATGAATACAAACTCTCTTATTTGACTTACGGTCTATGGTAGAGACCCGCATTGTAAGCCCTTTGCGGATTCTCACCTTCCGTTCCAATACCTCTCATTGATAAAGTCTCTCCCATGACTCCAAAGTTGAGTAGGCAGTCATCTGCTTTAGAGAGGCAGATCTAGATCGCCTATAACATCGGCAAATTTGAAGCCTAGCCTAGTCAGATGGAATGTGCGGCGCACCTTTCGACTTTTACTGATTTGAATATAAATAATTGCAAGTTACCTCAAATCTTTCAGCAAATTCATTATCTCAATATTTAAACATATTTTATCTTAACTGTTTGAGAACTCCGCCTAAACATGGATGCTAAACATGAGGATGATGGCTCAAAACCATCACTTATGCCCCCACACCCGCAACTTCTTGCGGCACTTCAGGTTGCCCCAGGCTTGGTTGATGCGCCTCACATATCACAAATGAGCTTCGGACGCCCGTCCCTGAGCGCAAGAACAGGGACAGCGCGTGGCTTGAATGACGGTACAATATTTCCTGACTCCGACTTCGCCTCCACTGTACCACCCAGGCGCATGAGGAGGGCTGCCCTAGAAAGAGCACCGCTCACGGGAGTTGTGAGGTATATAGCAAATGCCTTTCATGATTTCTATCGTTGCAATATCATTTAGAATATCAGCTCACTGTGGGAATTGGCAGGGTTGCTGTTGTGTTGGTCGACTTTCCTGATCAGAAGATGTCCAGCAACGCGGTGCAGCGTTTTTGGAAGTTATTTTTCTCGTACGGGAAGGTTCCTACTGGAAGTGTCACGGAATACTTCTCTGAGGTTAGTAACAAGAATATATCCTTGGATGGTGAGGTAGTCGGTCCATTTGGTATGCCGCGAACACTTCGCGAGTACGCCAATAACAACAATGGGACATCGTCAATGCCTCCAAATGCTAGAACACTAGCCGCCGATGCTCTCGATGCAGCAAAGAGCAAAATTACTAACCTTAAGCAATATGACAATGACGGGAACGGTTATGTTGATGCGTTTATTGTCGTCCATGCTGGAAGAGGGGCAGAAGTGACGGGTACCCGTAACGATATCTGGTCCCTAAAGTGGGTTTTGCCCAGCGTTGTCTCCGCCAATGGAGTCAATATATATGGGTTTCTCACCATTCCAGAAGATGCATATATTGGTGTTTGCGCCCATGAGCTTGGTCATCTCTTGTTTGGTTGGCCTGACCTCTACGATATTGACCAGAGCTCTGAGGGTATTGGAAATTGGTGTCTCATGGCCGGTGGCTCATGGGGAGGCTCGCCACCTGGTGTTCAGCCTTGCCACCCATCTGCCTGGTGTAAAGTGTTGCAGAAATGGGTTACGGTCCAGACCCCTACTACGGCCGAGAGTATTACGTTGCGAGACGTAGCAACCAGTCATGAGGTCTACCGATTATGGACAGCAGGAAGTGCTACCAGCAAGGAATACTTTCTGCTGGAAAACCGCGCTTTTAGTGGCTTTGACCGCTCTCTACCAGGGTTCGGTCTGATAAGTGTGTATTCCATTCAGGCTACTGCATACTCAGTGCTAATACCCCGGCACAGTCTGGCATATAGATGATTCAAAACAGGACAACAGTGATGAAACACATTATTTGGTTGCCATGAAGCAGGCCGATGGTCTCAACCAACTTGCAACATCGACTGCAGGCAGAGGCGACCCTGGCGACCCTTACCCTGGGACGGCTGATAACCGATCATTTACAAACACTTCCAATCCGAATAGTCAGTCATATTCAGGGCGAGCGACCCGGGTCTCAGTGACCAATATTTCCGATGCTGGAGCAACCATGACAATGGATATTAAAGTTTAGTGTATTTAGGTAGGGTTAGAGGTACGGTGTGGACGTTTAGTGGGTTCTAGTAGTAACCGTACTGACACTGTTGCTTTTGATTGTGCGTGGTAATATGTAATCCAAAAGGTTATTCGGACTTCACAATAGTCAAAATTGAGTACAGGTATCGTGTAGGACATATCCATATTGCACACACTAAGTATGTATCTGTTTTTCATGATATACATTGGATCAACCACAACATATCAAGTCAAATCCATAGCGACAGAAGCATATATGTTCCTTGGAATAAGTATATATATTCTATATATTTACCATTTGACTGCATATTCAAATAGAATTATATTATTTAGTCTACTACGGAGCAGATCGAACCGCCAAATGGAGATAAGAATGACCTCACCACCCCCCTGAGCTTGCGAATCCATCAGATACCTTGTTTAGCCCAATATGAACCACACGATTACCTAGAATCACATGTCTTTATATTCTTTTATAAGTTAGATTGTCTAGATTCTGTACTTTTGTATTATACTGTAACAAACTTTCTTGGACTACTCCAATTTGACCGCAAACGGCCGTCTCTTCCACCGACCAAAGAAAGCACGAAAGGCCGACAAACCTTAAGTCTGCAGTTATGATAATGATCTAATTCTTTTCGCTAGCTGGATCTCGTGGCTAGCTATTCAAAAGGTATGTTATATAATACTCAATCCTGGTTTCACAGTTTTACATCAATATTAGATCTGTTTCTATGGTTTTAATACCAAAAACAAGGATATTTTAATAAATAGTAAATTACTTTAGTAGACTTGACTGTGATTGCGTACTATTTTTATTAATATATTTATAGTCATTTACTTTGGGGGAACAGACTACAGTATTTCTGCTATTTCAGTTATGCTTTTACTTGTAAGTGTTCATGAGTTGCACTTTATGGCCTCCAAGAAAAGGCCTGCCTAGTCCAATCGACAAACTGTATTAGCGAAAGCTTTTAGAATTTCTGATTATCTCCAAATATACTGCTCAGACAGAATAAAATATAATGTATTTATACTGAATAGACTTGTCCAGTATAGTTTTCTTGAGCTGGTGCAATAAAATAAGTTACTATTGTTCTATACCTATTTGTTATGTATCAAACACTCCCCTCCCCTGGTCAACAAATATACACAGTATATTATCAGTGAGCTAACCTATTGCAAAATATCTCACAAACAAATATAGTAGATTCGGCAAGTAAATACTGTCTTTCTTTACCTAGCTGTATTAGATAATATTGGACCAGGATCAATCACTGAGCAAAAAGCGGCCGTCAGCTACCTAGTCTTATTCTGGAAAGTCGCAAAGTTTCCCAAGTCTACACAAGAACCATTCACAAGTATGTACGTATACATACATTGATATGATATATTGCTTATAGGTGTAGTTCTGTTATTGATAAAAACCTTGTCCTGTCCTGTAGCCATACGCCTTAAATACATTGCCATCCCAATGTCCGTGCATTACGGCCACCTATAAACTCCATGTACTGCTTCACTCTCGATACAATTCCATTTGCGTCTAAGCCGAAGCGCTCATAGTTGCTCTGATTTGAAGCAGAATAGCCATAAGTCTTCATCCCAATGCTGGCCGTGACGTATCGGGCCCATGTGGTTGCGACATACTCCTCGACACTCACGATAGGTTTACCATCCAAGGGAAAGACAGATTGCCGATACTCTGCATTTTGGTGGTCAAACAAATCAAAACTGGGACAGCTTACCACTCGACTTCGGATTGAATCGTCTCGCAGCTGCCTCGCAGCGGTGACAACGTGGTGTAAGTTGGATCCACAGCTGACTAGGGTTATGTCTGCTTCTTCATCCTCCTGGATCACATAGGCCCCTAGTAATGTTCGGAATCTATCGGTATTAGGTACCTTTCCAACTGGATCGCGAGCGAGGGATATCATTGTCGGAGCCTTCTTCGACCCCATTGCGTGAATCCAGGCGCCCAGAACTTCTTCGGCATCACAGGGGCGGATATATGTAAGATTAGGCATAGCCCTATAGAGTGAGTCGAGTTCGACTGGCTGATGAGTGGGCCCGTTTTGGCCCTCAGCTAAACAGAGTTAGCTATGCCCATTCTATTGCTCCTAAGTGAACCATCCCTACCGAAGGAATCATGTGTGGCGATGTGGATCGCGGGAAGGTTACTGAGAGCTCCCATTCGGACTCCGGGCGCAGCCTGTATCGATTTGTTATTAGCTTGACTCCATCGAATCCAAACCTCCGAATAAGGGTATCTCGTACGTAAATGTAAAACATCAAGAAGGTTGCGGTAACGGGGATGAAGGTTCCTGGGCTGAAGGCTGCTATGCCGTTGGAAACCGAAGCCATTGCATGTTCTCTAATGCCATATCTGATGTATCGGCCATGGTAGCTAACGGTCGGATGGAAGACATCAGAGTCGGAATAAACTATTTTGTTTGAATTCACGAGGTCCGCTCCTCCTCCAATGAGTGGAAGACATTCAGCCCACAATTTATGGAGGATTAAACCGTTCGACTCGCGAGTGGGCATACCACTGAAAAGGTTGGTATCCATCTTGCGGAGAAGCTCATCGTATCCAGTGACTGTGCCCTGACGTCGAGCAGTAAACTCCCGTGCTTTCTCCGGGTGAGCTTTAGAATAGTCATCCAGAAGCTTCAGCCATTTATTCTCTAACCACTTCCCATGCTCTTTTCGCTCCCGGAAGAACTCTAGGCCCTTTTCCGGCACGACATGGGTAGTCGAAGGGTCTAGTCCCGCCAGGATCTTTGAACGGGCAACGCTATCTTGGTCAAATGCACCGTGATGTGCCTTAGCCGTTCCTGCTGTATTGGTCCCAACACCGATAACTGTCCGAATATTAATAAATACCGGCTTTCCGCGCAGGGTTCTAGCATGCTGTAAAGCTGCACATATGGCCTGGACATCGTGGGAACCATCTATAACATCCAAGACATGCCATCCAGAGGATCGCATTTTGCCGTTGACATCTTCAGCGTTGATCCATGAGAGCGGACCGTCACATGTCACTCCGTTGTTGTCATATATTAAGACCATGTTATCGAGTTGAAGATGTCCCGCGAGCGAAATGGCTAGGGAAGCTTAGTATGATGTGATGTGCTTAAACCTGTCAACAACAAACCTTCAAGTGCAACGCCCTCCATCAAACATCCATCGCCAGTCATACAATAGATCCGAGAAGTCACGACATCATAACCAGGTTCATTATACAAGGCACCCAAATTTTTCGATGCAATAGCAAGTCCGACTGCGTTTGCAATACCCTGTCCCAGGGGCCCTGTAGTGACCTCCACACCGGGACACTCGATTTCAGGATGCCCATGGGCAAGGGTACGAATACCATTTAGCTTTGCGTCCCCGTAGTGCCTTAACTCCTCCATCTTCCAGGCATCAAAGCCTGTAAGGTGATTGAGAGCATAGAGGAACATCGCACAATGACCTGCTCAAATTAGCAACATCCCCTTAGTGAAGGCCTATAGAAATAGTGTTTTACCGTTTGATAGCACAAATCGGTCCCGATCAAACCAGTCTGGGTTTGAGGGACTGTAACGCATGATGTATTTCCATAACGCGACACCTATAGCAGCCATTCCAATGGCTGATCCACCATGTCCACCCCCATTTTGGTTACATATATCAAAAACTAGATTCCGGAGCGTCAGCACGGCGAGGTCGTCCTCTGCCATGCCTCCTGAACATGAGTGGTCTCCCATGGTGGCCGGCAGGTATGCTAGTTAGGAGTATTATGGAATGGCGCGCGGATACTGCTTTGGGACAAGATGCAGGGGTGAATGGATACAGGAACTTGCCAGTAGAGTTAGGCGCAATGGATCTTTAGATATAGATGCTCAAGAGCAAGGAGGACCTGATCCGTGGTAGACAAAGGGGTCTATCTTCTCCGGAACTATTTTCCCGGGTATCGGGGGTAGCACCCCGGTTAATACGAATTGAACAGACCTAGAAAATCTATGGTGAACTTATGCCTGAATCGGAACTCTCGCCCGAAGCAATTGATGTATTCTCTTTGTCTTCAAAGAGGGGTAGACTGGTAACTTTCGTTCGTCTCAGCATCAAACTCTACAAGTGGACCATGGCTGCAATGGGTAGAAGGCACGAATAGGACTTAACTGAGCTTTCGTATAGATAGGTGCTGCGCTGGACTATACGTACTAGGGTACAGATGTACCATAGCACATGTATGAAATGGATTTATAGTGTTATCTAGTCTAAGAATGCCTTGTAGAGAAAGTGCGCCTCTACCTTCAATGTAAACGCTATCAAGTTATAGTATACCACTCTCGGCTAACATTCAGGATCATATAATTGTTACTCTATAGATTGACTACAGCCTTAATGACTAACTTCGAACCTTCGTCCCGTGTCTTACTCGCCATGTCATATGCATTGGGGATTGACTCAAGCCCACAAAACCGGTGCGTGATAATCTTCCTGATGTCTGGCCCAATTTCATGCCGTGCTACTGCCTCCATAATTTCGATGGCCCGTGGATAACAATTTGCATAGCGCCAAACGGAGATAATATCAATTTCTCGTCCGGTAATCTCTGAAATGGGCCAAGACTGAACGGGCGAGCCCATACCGACAAGAATAACCTTGCCCCCGCCGTCGACGGCCTGGAAAAGTTAGCCCTAGATTTCTAGCGAATGTGATAAAGAGGTGGGTGGCTCACATAGATAGATGCCTGTACACAGGTCTCGACACCGGTACATTCGAAAACAACGTCCGGGCGATCGACTAATGTTTCATCCGGCCATTTGGTCTTGCTAATCGCTGCAGCCATTGCTTTGGCCTGGCTGAATTTGTCAGTGGACAGGGAGCTCATTGGAGTAACAATGAATCCAGCGTCAGCATAGCCCTCATCAAGAGCGAATTGTACCCGGCCAGGATCGATGTCGGCAATGACAACTCTACATTGGTGCTCAATCTTTGTTACAGCGGCGCACATCAAACCCACAGCACCAGCTCCGAGAACTAGGCATGATGATCTGTCCTGAAGAGTAGCCTTTCGAGTCGCATGGATACTAACGGCAAGGGGTTCCAGAAGCGCTCCATCATCACATGAGAGTGCACCAGGCAGCCTGAAGATGTTATTAATGATAGGAAGCAGATGTCGCAAACTAGGACTCACTTATAACACCAACGTGCAGGATGATCAACGAACTCTTGAAGTGTTCCCTGAAAGTGTGGAAAGGAAGCACCACTGCTTCGAAAACGCAACTTGGAACAAACATTGTAGCGCCCATTCTTGCACTTAGCACATTCCTCGCAAGGTACCCCACTCTCTATAGCAACAATGTCACGTATCTGTAGATCTCCACTCTCAAGGATGGATTGACCAGCGGCAACAATGACGCCTGCTGCCTCATGTCCACCACACAGGGGCTCTTTAATCTTGATGGACCCATTTTGACCGTATTTGAAGTAATGGACGTCAGATCCACAAAGAGTTGTAGATCGTATCTGAATGCGTACATTATCTGGGGATAAAGCGCCTAATTCTCGAGCTTCAAGCCGAAGGTCCTTAGGGCCATGAAGATATTGTCCCCTGCTCTGAGAGATTGTAGACTCCATCGTCAAGAATGGAACACGTGAAAGACTGCAGTTACCTATTGTATGAGCTTGCTCTAGTTATCGAAGGTATAAAAGCTGAGGAGAATGGACTCAGCGCCTTGAAACCGTGAAATGAATCCCGGGGCGGATGGGCATATCACAGCAGGTATGGCATATGGAAAGGCAACGCCGGAATTAAAATTCCTGCTCCCTTTGATACATATGTGGGATTGATAAAGAGGACACAAAGAAAGCACATTTGTTAACTGCTATAATTTCTCCTCAAGCACAGCGGCGGAACTTACCGTTTCTCCGAGTGACAAAGGTGTACCGAGCATGGCAACAGCGTATTCTCCTAGTGCAATCATTATCGGGGCGGGCCCTAGCGGTATTTCACTTGCGTATCGACTGAGGCACGAACTGGGGTTTGACGACTTTTTGGTAAGTTATGGCTATTCTCTCGACACATATGAGAGATCCGATATCTAAAAAAAAACTGTTAGATATATGAAAAGCTAGATGGTGTTGGAGGCACTTGGAGGACGAACACTTACCCTGGATGGTAGCTACCCAGTCCTGGTGTCAATTCAGAACAAGAGAATTGCTAACATGCTTGACTACTAGCGGATGTGACCTCCCATCCCACTTGTACTCGTTTAGTTTCAACCTGAATCCGAACTGGTCGAAGGAGCTATGCGAGCAGCCAGAGATTCTGCAGTGTAAGCTTGTCCAAGAACGCGTCCAAATGTGCTTCACTAACTGCAATATATTAGATATTGAGGATACTGTGGACAAATTCGACCTCCGCAAGCATGTCATCACCTCGGTGGAGTGCTCCGGCGCCGTATGGGATGAATGTCGCGAAGAATGGGCTGTCTCTTTACGTGATCTCAAAACAGGACTGAGCTTTGTGCGGTATGCGACCATTTTTGTGTCAGCCGTCGGGGCAATTTCCTTCCCTCGGGATGTGAGGTTCCCGAATATGAACCAATTCCGAGGCCCGATATTTCACACAGCTCGATGGGACCACTCAGTCGACTACAGTGGCAAGCGAGTGGTAGTTGAAGCCTTCCATCCCTGAGTGCAAGGCTTTCGGTTGACACTATACTAGGCAGTTATTGGAAACGGCTGTAGCGCCGCTCAAGTCGTACCTGCGATGGCTGAGAAGGCCTCTTTCGTGCAACAGTATGCTCGTAGCGCTCAGTGGTACCATCCTCGTGTATGAACCTCCGTTGATCCATGTGAAGCAAAGGGTGTGTACTAGAGTAATACTGACGAGTATACTACAGCCAAATCATCATTTTTCCAGAGTGGAAAAATGGGCTTTCCGCTGGATTCCCTTGTTACAACGCTGGCTCCGCTTACGAATTTTTCTCAAGGCAGAGACGGAGTCAAACACCTATTTCCCGTCCCCTGAAGGGGTGAAAGCCCGTATTGAGGCAGAAAAAGAATCAAAAGAGTATATACTTTCTAAAACGCCAGAGAGATACTGGGACTTTATTGTGCCCAACTTTCCGCTTGGTATGGCATATATCGCACGGTTTTATTGGCACGAGGGAGTAACTGATTGGGCCGATCATAGGATGTAAGAGAAGAATATTTGACCCAGGCTATCTTGAATCTCTCCACCGGAGCAATGTCTCGCTCCGAAATGAGGGAATCAAGGAGTTCACTGAATCAGGAATTATTGGTTCCTCCGGTGACGAGTATCGTATGTAGCATGGTCCTTGGAAGTTCACATTCAATCGCCCTAACCTGCTTATTAGATGCGGATATTATCGTCCTCGCGACAGGCTTCCAGGTGTCCCAGTTCCTAACTCCAATGGAGATAGTGGGAAGACGCGGAGTTTCATTGAATAAACAGTGGGAAGAGTCCAGAGGGGCACAGGCATACTACGGTACACACGTGCACAACTTCCCGAACATGGGCATAATGTAAGTAGAACTGTGTCCCAAGCAGCATATCCTAGACCTGACAATGAACCTAGCTTTGGACCCAACGTTTTTCCAGCGAACAACTCAGCCTTGTTTGCCTGCGAAACACAGGTTTCATATGCAGTCAAGTCGCTTTTCATACCTATCCTGGACCGCAGGGCTCGTGTACTAGAAGTGAAACAATCAGCAGAGGAAAAGCACACGAACCTTATGCAACTGCGACTAAAGGACACTGTGTTTTCTGGTGATTGCTCAAACTGGTACATGGGTAAGTATGGCCGGAACGCAGCATCATGGCCGGCTAAGGCGGGTAGATTTTGGTATGAAACCTACTTCCCTGATTGGGATTCATTCACTTGGAGGGGTGGTTTCTCTCTTTGGCCAGTCTACCGGATACAGAGATGGCTGAGGGCATATCCACGGTCGTCCAAGATACTCTTGATAGTCGCAGCACTCGCTATATATTCAGCCCACAGTGATCAGGCAATATCATATGCGTTCAGTGCTCGGAGCCTGTGGGCGTAGGGATATGGATGCCCTCCTTGCTCATTTGTCATTTTAGTATAGCTTTGAAATGCCAGTTCAATTCGTTGTGTGTTGTCTCTGGGAATAGCCCTTGGTAATGAGTAGTCTTTGATGTAACCAAGGAGTGGATAAATATGCTACCATATATAACCATTTGTGCCCGACATTCTTTGCTGCTCTCGATCAGTCTTCCCTATATTGGTTCGGTAAGTGGCTCTAATTGCTTCTAGCCCAAGTATGTAGCCAAACGGTGCTCGAGCTTTGGATACTTGACATGTAGGCTTAAAAGACCGTCGTTTCCGACAGCTTGGCTATCAGTGGCTTAGAACTGTATGCACCACCCAGCCAACTTGTTCTAAATGGACAGTTCCAATAGTGCAGACAAGACTACCATAGTTGGAAGACCGTTGTGCTGAAGGGTATGGCCCAAGTAACCCCGGACAAGAATAGGTGATCGGGCATTGTATTCTTCTTAAGCATTGAGTGGCAAAGGAACGTTGGTAGGAAATGGAGGGTAACAAATCTAAGACAATATGGGATGATATAGTATCAGGTCCTGAACTGTGTATTATTGGAAGGATTCATAGGTAAATATATAAGGAAACTCAAGATACAGGCCACCGTGTGTGACACATCTTTTACCCAAATTTGTGTTTTCATGTTTCGAGCGAGTGTACACTGTTGTGCCAAGCAAGACTGGCCAAGTTCATCCTTAGAAGCTTCAAGTCGCATGTATACATGTGTGACTTTCGAATTATAAAAAGAGACAAAAGAAAAAAAAGAGACAGGAGCGTAACGACTGTTATAAACAAACATAGTTCGACAAGATCGACAGAAACAGCAATGTAAAGGCGTTGGTTTCCAGTCAGGTATATCACCGATTTATACATAGCAAATCACGACGAGGGGATATATTGAACATAGTAGATAATTCCGGGTATGAAAATAGCAAAGCGACATATCGGTTCCAGCGTATTAAGGGTGTAAGATAAGAGTGTCGGGTAAGGTGCGTTCTGATTATGACGATTGGTAAACTAATTGGCACTCTGGAGTTTGAATCCAGTCTGACTGAGGGAAGGACGTAAAGTGGGCTGGCTGGTGCACGAACATGCCGGAGGGTGAAGTAGTGTAGAGCCGCGTAGCAGAGTCATGGGCCACATCCTCTGGTAGCATGCCGTAGCTCATAGTCATAGGCCATTGTGATGATGCCAATTCCGCTCTTGGCCGCTCTATGGCTGGGTTGTAAAAGTCGAAAGTGGGATGTGAAAACCTGAAATTAGGCGTTAGCCACCATTTTGCGTTTGGAAGTTTGCTGCCCAACCTGGGTACTCCATAAGAGTGACCCAGATTTCACAGTATCTAATGACATACCGTGGATAGTATCCAGGGGAAACTTCATGATACTCCCATGATGGGTTGACTGCTGACATGGCTGTTGCAGAAGAATGGAAAGAATCATGTGGTATAATTCCACTTGAGGTTTGCGTGTCAGGCATGATATCGCCTCGTTCAGGTGTATAGAAATCTTCCTTCGTCGTAGAATGGCTCATGGTTGTTGAATGTGCCGTCTCGTCACCACTATAAACTGGCGACTTGAAGCAACCTTCATTGCTCAGACCTTCATGATGGCTCATGATGAATTTGTTCTGACTGCGACGACGAGATAGCTTGGTGACACCCCATTTTTTCAAGCGACTCCGCAGCTGAGTCTCACTGTGGAAGAGCAGTCGATCGGTCAGGGCATTTGTCTTTCTCAGGGCCCTCTGGAATGCCTCACCTTGGATTGAATGTGTCGGAGCGAATCCTTTTAAGCACTTGTTTCAGAGGCCACTCTTCTTCTTGGTAAAGCTTTATGATCAGGCCTCTCTTCATCTCCCACATTCTAAAAGAGATTGTATGTTTCATATTGGATGATTATCGTTCGAATGCTCAATCTATGCGAGGCTGAATGTCAGCAAAGCATAGTGCGATATCAATGGGTTCCCTTGAAACATATATAGAACTCTGAGCTTGGAACACTTCGGGGAACGGAAGATGGGGACTAGATAAAAGCCCCCCTTGAGCCACAAGCCACCAGGGTTACAGGCCGATCGCGCAGGCACAAAGTCTAAAGCAAGGTTGTTGACCAGGGTAAGGGTATGGCTCGCCACGTGTGATGAGCAATTCAACTGTGATAATCCCGGGGCCCACCCTTGGATGAACGGCCCCCGTTTCATCTCCAAGTTTTAGACTTCCTGGATGCCCTACTCTAACAGTCTTGTCCGGGACGTTACCCACTTTCGTTCACACGGCGCCTCGCCCCTAAGTCTCGTAACTCTTGAGGTGGGTACGCACTCCATCACGATTTAGTGGATTGCTTTTCGATCTTGAGCCCTTTTTTTGCCCTTCAAATTATACCGAAATCAAGTCGTATGAGACGGTGATCCCCCGGTAGATCCGTGGACAATACTCCCATGATCGCCCGGATGTCCCCATTATGAAGGGTTACCAATGAGACATATCTGTGATCGAGTCGTCTGCTGACCTTTCGGCCGGAATTGACGATGTACGCTTGACGACACTAAGGGTGTTAGAGTGGGTCATTGAACCATGGAATACTTTTCCTCTATTGTCCTCGGCTAAGTCGCATTAGAACATGGTTCAGCATGCGGGTGATTGGCTACTTCACACTTTTCACGCATCACTCTAATGTGGGGGTCTTCGGGCACGGTTATCTGTCCACCCAAATGATACTCCTGTCAAGGCTTCTCGGCTGCCCTTTTCCGGATATGTTCGGATTCCGTCCGCAACTTAGTCACACAAACCATATCCTGTCCATGTCGCTAACAAAGCATCCATGGTGTACTGCTATCTTTCGACCTTCCAAAACTGTAATACGTAAGGTTTGCCGGGGTTTGGTGCGCGTGGGGGGGGGAGGGGGTTTACGCGGGATGGGGTGAAAGTTGGGACAGTATCTTCTGCCTAGTTTCAACAATAAACATACGGCACATCTCGCTAGATAGACTTCAGCCCAGATTTAGCACGACTACCTAGGTCTAGAAGCCATGTAGGAAGATGTACTAAAAATGTAACTATCTTATTGGTGTTTCAGGAAGTAAGAAGGAAGTCTTTGCGAGTGGGAATGGTGCATAATGATTCATATCCTGTAGAATCAATTAATTATACCAGCTATGCAACGAGGGTCTTCCCACTCTACTTCCAAAACGATCTAGGCTTATTTGACTTCATGTGGTGTACAGTATTATGGGACTTATTTGCGCGATTCCCCCGCCTACTCTACTCTTACTGGTCTGTCCAATCCTTGGCCTTCTCACACCAAGGCAAATAGCATTATCAAGATAGATGAAGTAAGACAAAATGTTCTATGGTACACTACTCCGAAAGAGGCTGTGTCCAAGCGGTTAGCATTTGGTAAACTAAGAATAGTCCAGGAGCTACTGTATTAGTCTCGCAGTCGAGGAATGTTCAACCATACGAATTCAATACGCTCGCAACGTACGATCCATATCAATCGTGTGATGTAGACCTTGCCATAATCCCTAGAACCTTCTATATTGTACAGCTATTTAAACCAAATAAATGGCACATTGAATAGGATACATGGTAAGTATTCAGTCAAATCACCACAGCAGCGTACCACTCATCTTCTATCTTTTGGCAGCGGTGGCAGAGGAGGCAAATTGTCCTGGACAAAGGGTCTTGGGCTTGTTACAACGCGAACACTGGTTGTCTTCATTATTTTCATGTCCTCAGTCTCGAACCCCTGTTGTCGTAGCTGGGCGAACTGCATATGCCTCAAATTCCTCTTTTCTCTTACCTCATCATCGCACTTGATATAATGACTTTGTGAGTTGAACCGGGTCGGGAGGTTCATTGATGCTTCATGGATTTCATTGTTAATGTTGCTTTCCCGGGCAAGCTTGCGGATGAGTGAAGCCATTTTCAACTCGATGTTCAGCTTCACGATGTAGGTGACTGGATGGAATTGGATGTAGACCATCGGGTTGGGCAGGAACATGAGTCCAATGAGGATAGCCTGGGCATAAGATGTGAGAATTATTCCAGAAACAGGACAGCAAATTGCCTCATTGTGCGGTGGCCTTACGTCCATGAGTACGGAAATGAACATCATTCGCATGTTGAACCGAACTAAGGGCCCGTATTTCTTTAGTCCATTTTGGCGAACCAGTCGCACACGGACAACCCGTAGGAACCAAACATTCAAACATGCATCGACGATGCATATTAGTAATTTGGAGATTGGGTCCCAGAAACGATTAATCATGACAAACCTACACAGCAAGGTCAGCGGTATACCCGGAACGAACAAGAAGAAGACACTCACGTATGATTAACCGGGGGAGTCATATGTGCAGGGATCCAAATGCAGAACACCGCAATATTGATTGCTGTGATGAGACAGGCAGTGCCCCATTTGACTTTTCTCGCGGTCTTCTTCTTTTCCACCACGACATAGATGCGGTTAATGATGATTTGCATACAACATTGGATCTGAAGGGCCCAGCAAAATAGTAGCAGTGCCAGAACAGGTGCACTGGGGAAGACTGTCAGTGCTACAGCGAATTGCATCATATCGCCATGTCGCAGGGGGCTTACATGACCGGTACAATGCCTTCCAGCACAAGCCACCCCATTACTCCGATTACCACATTAGACAGTATCTCAATCCAGATAAGAATAACGAAAGGGCTCTTGTAGGGCTTCTCAACTTCCGAAGTCTGCTTAATTGCATTCCAGACTGTAAGGAAACCAAAGCCTAGTGTGAAACCTGCCGCCAGTCCGACCAGCTTGAAGTCGCTGACCGAAGGCTCCATTGTTTGACAGGGGCTGAATTAGCACTATGGTGTGCTGTATGTAAATAGGATCAAAGTCCGACGTATAGTAACTACGTCTTGGATAAATGTAGACTGATACTGATGGGGTTTATGTGTCGCATACTGACTCAAGTCTGCCGGGTTCCCGTGGACCCTCCAATCTTAGTTTACTAACTTTTGTAGTACGATCCTGCTATCCCTGGCATCGTTCCTCAAGGGCCTCTGGTGAGGCAAGAATCGAGAAAAGTCAATTAGCATGAAGTAACAGTATGAAGACGACGAATGAGTTATCCACAAAATGAGACCTACCAGAATTGAGGAAAAAGAACCACCTGGGAAAAAATAACCGAGGTGGTATTCCTTCGATAGTACACGTGGGAAGTAGGTCTTACAGGACTGTGTTTATGCCTGACGAAGATTTGATCTGCAAAAATGAGCCATTATTTGGAAACTTAAATCCTTAGCGAATGCCAGGTGATAGATTGCACCAGACCGTTAAAGCCCAACAAGCTATCTGCAGGTATGAACGGGAAATCGGCATGAAGAACCTCACACCTGTTCAACTCGAAACCCATTTTTCCGACTCATTCAAAAATGATAGGAAAAATGGGGCTGCCTTGTAAGGCCTGTTGACGGTTGGAAACACGTGCCGTTGACTGTATACCCTCTAGGAAGGGTAACTGATGATCTCTCTGTTCATGTCCCATTTAACCTTGCTGTAGATACTTCACACTAGAGAGTTAGGATGGAAAAGCCGGATGAGCTTAAGGGTGGAAAATGAATCCATAACCATGGAATCCAAACCGACCTGCCAAATCGATAACGAACTATCCCATAAAATATGGTAAACAATTAAACCACGCACAACTTCCTTGTTTTCGAAGTGGATATGCTGCGCGTGTCTTTAATACGCTAAGTTCTGTGTAGAGTTTATGTCCAAAAAAAGCAACCGGCCTCAGAATCCATCCATGGCTGTACCGGTGGATCTCGGGGGATTGACTGGTGGGTTAGACTTTTCCGCTGAGGGTCCAGAACACGGACGTTGGTCTGTCTCCGTTCCTTCAACCCACCAGGGCTTGGAGTTCGAACAAATCACAATTAAATGCCTTGGAATGATTTGCTTCATAATCCAATGTCAGCCCCATTGTGGCAAAACGATCGACCACACCTCCTATCATACTTACTATCTATTGTGGACATATTAGCACCTTCCAGTATAAGGAAAGGCCAAGGAGCCAGACCCACTGACCTAGTACTTTCTCAGTTAACGGTCGAATCTACCTTATCACTGAAGGGCAAACGATACACGGGGGTTGTCCGTTGGAATCTTGGACCTTTGACTGATACTGCCTACGCTACCTGTCGGACATGCAGTTGATCACCAAAACCCACAAACTAGGCTATTATGGAGTATACTCCGTAACTAACTTCTTCGGTCTTCATACTAACGCCTTGAAAAAAATAAGAAAACAGCAAAAAAGCAGGAGAATAAGCTAGCTAGGCGAGTAGCAATGCCGATAACAAATTTAATTACATTTTGAAATGGAAAAGCGAAACCTCACGAAAGCTATAATCAGTATCAAAAAAATTAAAATAGAATACGTAGGTAAATACATAAATAAAAATAGAATCTCAAAAAGAATGAAAAGAAACTGACAAGAAGAAAAAAGACAACAAGACAGCCAACTTCGATACATGGAGTTAGTTTGTCCACCCCAACACTGTAGAACTATTATCGACCCATTCGCCTACAGCTTCGACACTCGAGACCCAAATACTTCCCCACGGGCGAGCTTCATATGGCTCATAGTAAATGTATCGTTAGCAATTGCTGCGCTTGTGCTGGCATCCAATGCCACTGCAAAGGCAGCAATCATGCCAGCCAGCCTTCTCTTCCCCGAGGGCTCCGCACACCCCAGCATATCCAGACACTCCTTCTGCGATGGGTACAGGGTCCCCCCACCCACGGTACCCACCGGTAAGGAGGGAAAATACAGAGTCATTTTTAATTCTTTGGTCTCGTAATCGTATTCAGATGTGAGATGACTCCAGGAAGCCTCTGCTACGCTGCCCGCATCCTGCCCCGTCGACACGAAGATAGCGGCTATAATATTGGCGGTATTGATATTGCAGCCGAACTGGCCATTGCGTATTCCTCCTTCCTTTAGAGCCATTTGGGTCCGATATAGACGTTCCGTGCTGCAGCCTAGGATATCTTGGCAGGCAGCGTTGGTAATAGTGCCCCACGCTAGCACTTCAACTCCCCTAGCTCTCTGCACATTGCCCCAAGAAGGCTTCTTGTCCGACGCCAATTGACCCTCAATGAGGAAGTCTTGGATCTGGAATTGCTTTGCACATCTGTGGGTCCGCAGCACCTCGCACGCATGCTGTGTGGCCTTGCTGACCATATTCTGACCTGCAGCATTGCCACAAAAGTAGCTGCAAAAAAGATGAACACTGGAGCCAATAACCGAAGCTTGCAGCTCCTGTAGCCGAACGTATCGGCTAGTCGACTCGGCCCATCGGGCAAACTCGTTTCGGAATGATGGGACTGCCCGCGCAAACGCTACCGCATGCGCCGGACTGGCGAAAAGAAACATCGGCGCACGAGACATGGCCTCATTGAGAACCTCGAACTGTAGGCCTCCGCATGCATTGAAGACTTTACAGCCCCGACTGCAGCTAGCGACCAAGGTCGGCTCACACGTAGCCAATGGGGCATAGTATTCACCGGTCGTCTCAGGGCCGGTGATGCGCAGTGGCCCGGCGATGCCAACCGGGACTTGCACGAAGCCTATGCAGTTCTCGATGCGGACATGTTCGGCCTCATCGATGTGGCGTGTAAGATGTTGCAGTTGGGGGCTGTCAATATCCAAATCAAATTTGACCCGTCCATCTGGCCGCCGTTTGATGGGCTGATCCTTAGACATAACGAAGAACTAGTGATAAAACAATTATTTGAGGTACGATCTTTGATATAGTGTGCTTAAAGCCTAATTCATAATTTGGATGTGTTACAGATATACTGCTGGGAGCCCCGTTGTAGAAATAAGATGCCTTGTCTCAATCTACGCTGGCATAATTATTATCCAAGAGCCCCCAAGCCATTCTCCAGTTCTTGGACCTGGAAGGATTGTCATTGCCGACAATCGCCAAATAAACTTTCTGTTTTATGGAGCCTGTTACCCACAAATGTCCCGAGGATGCTTAGTCTTGGACCCTGGGTCTAGCCACACCGTTCACAACGGGTAAAAGGTACCCGTTAACAAAACTAATGCAAAAAAAGGAGAAGTATTCTACCAATCACACTGCAGGAGCTTAGTGTTTCCGGTAGGGTGGGCCTGGGCATAAAAAGCAGCTGGCGACATAGTGATGGGAAGTAGAGCGACGTATGGTAGCTCAAACCTATTCAGATCGCCAGGCTGACCTCAACAAATCAATGATGCTGCTCCCTTCGCCCCACCCATGGTTCCAAACGCCCTTGACGTTCCGCCAGTTGCAATCAGCGGCAGAAGATTCCGGTTCCAGCCATCCAATGTCTGGCTCGTCGTCCCTTTCACCTCGGAGCCGTGTCGGAGCCGCCAAGAGGCTCAAAAATGAGTTCCAAAGACGCCAATCCTCTTGTGATGTCGTATATACCTTCACATGAAGCTAACTATTTTAGTTGAGTCAGTGGCTGACGCCTCAATATTCACCTCATGCGCCTCAAGCTCTACCGAACTTCTTCTGAATGTCAATGCAGATCGTCAATTCTGGGATCGATGGTCATCATGAACGGTTCAAAACATACATATCTTGGTACCATGGTTAGTAAGACATTGATCTGCACGCAGAGCTTATTTTCTTTTCTCAGCCGGTAACTCTGAATCCAAAATTGAAATATGTCTCTCCATAGTATTTGGTACTGGGATTAAGATTCAGAAATTGAGCTGCCTATTTGGGACAGTGATAAACCAAAAAGAGACATTACAAATCCCTGACTAATACTAGAGACCATAGTTTGGACTGAATGATTCTCAGAACTTGAGGTAATACTACGTTGGACTTCGCATGTCTAATTACTCTAGTTACACTAACTAGCACTGGATGTCATCCTGTCTGCTCTCATGTTTCAGATTATCCATATTGGCAGCAAGACACAGCCTATCCACGAACATGAAATCGGGCCCCAATGTGGTTAAAAAGCAACACCATATTAAGTTTTAAGGTATATAGGGATAGATCGTAGGGCTGGCACCATAACGGCGTTCCCCGATCCCAGTTGACCCAAATCCATTGTTTTTTGGTTGATGTTCCCTGGTACGCATTCAATATTCTGCGTTCACAACGCGGCGCAACGCCTCTTGGGACCCAATAGCATACACGGGATCGGGGATGAGGAGAATTAGATCGATCGCGTCAAAGAGAGTGAAGACTCAGATCGATGATCGATCGGCGGCCGAAAAACTGTCACAGAAGAAAACAAGGTTGTTCTTCGCCACACCCTCTTCTGGCTGGGTGTCTAAACAGCTCGTTCCATGTTACCGACAGGAGTGCTGCTATGCCAGCCTCTAGGCATTTACACGTGGACTATCAGTAGCCTACATAGGTAATGCTCCGACTTCTGGCTAAATAAAACAATGACGGTGCTGGAATTTATGTCAACGTTTAGGAAGTCTGATATAAACATAGAAGAGAACAATAGCTATATCGGTGGTAGCCTCCACATCAACAATAGATAACGATAAGCAGCTGGCGGACCACATTAACTAGCACACATAGCGCCTTGCCTGCGAAGGGATACATAGTCTCCCTCAATCAAACCAATAGGTATTCCATCGTAAACAGGTTTTGAATTGCTCAGCTGCATGACTTTTACCAAGCGCGACTGGTGTCTCCTGGTCCGCATTAGCTTCGTACATCAGGAAGGACGTAGCGGTTTAACTCACCTGGAAGTAAGCCACCTAGCTTCTCTATTATGCATTCATCATCATCCAAATCGGGTAGCTCCATATTCTCGATGGCTCTCGCAATAAGGTCTGGGGTTACGTCTCTTCGAAGCAGCCCACCTAGACCACCTAGGCCACCGAGGAGGTTACCAATGCTGCCCAGGCCGCCAGCAGCATTACTAATAAGACTTGTGAGATCTCCAAGTCCACCGCCAGCGTCGCCTGCAGCGCCAGCAAGGCTACTGAGGCCCTTGACCCCTTCACCAATGAGGTTGGTCAGGTCACCTCCTCCACTACTTTGGCCTCCTCCACCACTCTCGCCGCCGCCACCGCCGGCAGCCCCAGCAATAGTGCTAATTAGTTTGGTGATCCCTTGTACACCCTGTCCTATGAGGTTCGCGAGATCACCCAGTCCACCGCCAGCAGCGCTACCACCTCCCGATTGCCCTCCAGGGGCAGGTGCTTGAGGGGGAGCGCTGGGGGCGGGAGCTGCCATCGCTTTGACACCAACGCTCACCTCGGACGGTGCAGAAGGAATCACACTGTTCGGCTGGCGGCGGTCGAGCGTCTGTGTGGGCGCTGCCAGGATGGACGTAACGAGAGTAAAGATGACGAAGACCCTCATGGTTTGATAGAGCTTCTTACCAGAAGTACAATAGTAAATAAAAGAGAGGGTAAAAAGAAAGACTAGAGCACAGCTCTGAAGAACGATATCGGGTTGAAGAGAATGAACGATAAACGAGTGATTTTTGGTATACTAATATCCGGTGAGAACGCTCTTTTATATACCATCATCAGCCAGACTCAAAAATCAGACTTCGTATTGTTCACCCCTCAATATAACATATCAGTTTCATATCCCTCAGGGTTGCATTTATCTAGCGAAAGTCCATCTGCGACGTAAGTTCATAGTGAATTAGATATACCGCAGTTGGCCTCTCAATGAGAAGAAAGCCAAAAAGAGATGCAGACCCTGTTTCACTATTAGATGGGGTTACTTCTTCCAACGGACCATACATAATGGGGTATGTATCAGTGCACGGCTCGGCACCATAACAGCTTAGGAACTACCATGTGCTTTGCCCTGGCAGCTGATGAACTTGCATTCATGCAGGTGATTCACCTAGTCCGTGGGTAGCTCGACCAAGTCCGTCTTTCTGTAAGTCACCATGACCCGGGGGTTGGCGATGTTTCAGGATGAGACGGGACATGTACAACATCGCCGCCTGGCCCAGTGGAACGAACCTAATGTGACTGATTTTCGTGACTCGATTTTCGTGATTTCGCCAGAAGCATATTGTCCATGTGGTGAGCAAAGGCACCAAGCATAGATCGTCGTTTCAACCCAGTTCTTCTTAGAGTTTGTAGGGCTCGGACACAGGGGTCGCATAGTTCTGAGCATAGTATTAGTTAGCCTTTGGTTACTTTAAAACCAATAGTTGGTTTTATCTCCTGTGTGCTTATCAAGACACATTCTCTTTCTCACGTGGCACAACGACCCCTTTTTTTTGTGAGTACTATGTTTGTTTCAGTCACCGGAACCTAGTAGCTCTTAATGGACTGTAACTATCCACCACAGACCCTTGCTGCTGCTTGTACATTGTGTGGTGTATGAGTGTGGATGCCACTGCGAAGCTAGCGAGGATTGGTAGTCTCTCAAGAGGCCCTAGCAGTAAGTGAGAATGATAAATGAGCATGAAGGAGTAAGGGTATCGCGTATTGCAATATTGACTGATCATGATGGCAAATGACTCACATGAGCTGAACATTTGCCGACTTTTCCGATGGCATTTTCAAGGAGGGCCCGGGCGGGGGGGTGTTCTACACAAAGTGAAGCCCTTTTGATCCCGGCATATATTCACACAATTGAGAGATATCACCATATCTGGACATAGTTTGTTGTCACCATGCAAGAGTCATCCCTTTCCTTTCTGATCCTAGTTAATCGACTGTCCCAGTTGCAATGACTAGGCTCCCTGATCTCCAAGTAAGACATTAATCGACATAGGTTAGCGGTTAGTTGCAGGGAACATAAGATGTATAGTTTGCCAAGGCCCAAGATCCATGACAACCCCCTAGTGCATCGGTGCGTAAATCATACTGGGGGCATGAAATGATTGCCTTGGAATGTCAACTGACAGCCGTTGCCCTAATCTTGCCCATGGTTCTGTACTCCGAATAGGGTACGCCAAGCCCACAGGAATTGAACTATATGATACTAACCATGTTGACTCGAACTCAATTGCCTTTTGGTCCCACCTGAATGCAACCCTACTTACTAGTCTTTTAACAGTTAGTCTGGTTCCTGCCCATTTGATCATAGGGCACTAGCTCAGGAAGGGATGCTGTGCGAAATGATGCCCGAAAAGGTGTATAAGGCAGATGAGTGTTCAAATCCGTGGAAGCTGGCCAACAACAAACGAAATTATTCCTAGCAAGGGCCCAAAGCTTAAGCTTCCTCATGAAAAGGGCCCAATATAAACAGTACGATTCATCATTTAACTTCCCGGAGTCGGATTTAATTCTCCGGCCCCTCAAACCGGATGTGCCGGTTAAGCCATAGTCCAGCCAAAAACCGTTTGGGCTGAATAACCAATTTTTGGGCACCTTTGAGAGTCTACTTTGAAGTAGACGCTCGTTCAGAAACTTTAACTTCGGGGGCCCTACGCTAGGACATCGATGCTCCACGGATCCACCTAATCATAGTATCCACAATTGCCTGACAGCATCATATGGTTACATTTCATGTGTCATTGGACTCCTTGGAATCCCTTTCTGGTCGTGGTCTGTGGGTATCGGCAAAACGGTGATAGCCTACTAGCGGAAAACCTAAACGCCGTCCTCCCTTTGGTGCCCTGGTCGAGATCTCCACTGACGCACGAGGGTACCCTTAGCCTTCTCCAGAGACGATCTTGTTCTGTCCTTGGTTGTTGTTCCGAACTATGGTTTTCTAGTCTCGGTGATCCTTTGCTAACTGGATATGCTAGGCCTTTTCAGCTGAAGATACCGATTGTTATGTTTGACCAGTGCCTCACCTTTTCTTTTGGCCTCCATTCTATTCATATGTCAAAAGATATGTATACCTGATGTGTATCCAGGTACGTTTGATATTGTAAAATGCTGAAACTCACTAAACTAGTCTCAGGCTAGTCCTTCTTTCCTGATGTTAATTATCGGCGGATTTTATTGGCTTCGCATGACGATCATGAAACAGGGTGTCGCGTCCAATACGGGACTTACATGCCATCACGGCTATCACACCTCCACAACTCAGGAAGTTACTGTATAGTAAAAGTGTTGAGAAGGGCCTATGTGTCTAACTTGTTCATATCATTTCCCAACGGGCTTAGTGAGGACCTGGGCCAGTGTGAGACTGTATTTATAGTAGCGTTGATTCAATCATACCATGCAGCGGAGGGTTTTCTGGCGCTAGAGTAGATGGCTTCGGTTAATCTCCTTAGCGATCGGCGTGATATAAATGGAAAGAAACACACAGCTACCAGACCCGAAATGGTTAACACGATAAGTCCACACCCGATGAAACATCATCATTGCTGCCATGGAATAACCCCCTGGCAAATGAAGTTTGTCTCGATATGGCCTAGTACAACGAAGATAGTCGATCCTCAGACCTTCGTAGTTACTCCGGAAATACGGCATCATATGAACTTGGTGTGTCAATTGTCGCCCCTTGATGTCTATTTCGAAAACGATTTATGAATGCATTTCTTGATAATTGCGCAACGTTGGCCAGGCCCGTCTTAACCGTCTTATCTCTAGAACAAATAGAAAGCTCGGCACCAAAGTGATGCGATACCGCTACACGAAGTGTGCAAGCAAGTGGAACGGGGAAAGATTAGCGAGCGCCAACTAGCGCCCGAAGGATCAATCGAAGAATTTACATTTCAATAAGTCAGCCACTTTTGGTATTTGTTTCCCCTAGTTAAAGTGGGCCTTTCCTGCGGAGCGTTTGGCTCGCTTAAGAGAAACGATGCAATTAAACGAAAACGAAGCTGTTGGAGGCAGCCCATGGGCAGTAGGAACGCCACAACAATACTTGTGAGAAAAGAAACTAGGAACCAATAGGAACCAAGCAATGCAGGTCAGGAGTTAAAGGCGTGCCCCCAGGAGTAGGAAAGAAGCGATCAGCGGGAAGGTGCCGTAGAATCTTCCTTTGCCTGAGGCATCAGAGACATGCTCATAGAAACACATAGATCAATTATAGGGGGATATAGATGCAATCCACAAATATATTTGGGATGTGGCTTTCTGTCAAAGCTCAGAATGCCCCATGTCGGGTGGTTACTTTCTCCAAGATATCCTTCCTGCAGGATGAACTAGTTAGGGCATCAAAATACCCCTGACACTACGCATCCGCCGAGTGACATTGCAACACACAAAGGCAGATATCTATCGTTCGGCTTCAATTCATATATTTAGTCTTAAGCCTGTTATCAATAGTATGTAGATACATAAACAGCCCGTTACTTTATACAGTGTCACGGTAGTGATCATGTTCGGTGAGCTGAAAATAATACCAATTCTTCTGGTATTCCAGTTGCTAGGCTTAGCTATATTGGCCCAGGGGCGCTTTGTGACACCTAGGTGTATGTATCAGAAAAGCATTTCTCTTCTATTGTAAAGGTAATGAGAACAACATACTAACGGCCGCGAGTCTATAGCTCTTTCGAATGACCATCTGGCCAAAATTCAACTGTTTGCGCAGTACTCTGCTGCCGCTTACTGTGACCATAACAACGACGACGGTATCCTTGGAAGCGTACGGTGTCTGGAAGGGGTTTGTCCGCTGGTCGAAGCTGCTGGTGCCCGAACAATAGCAGAGTTCAATGAAGAGGACATCCGCGGCTTCGTAGCTGTGGACGACACCCACCGACTTCTTATCGTATCGTTTCGCGGTAGCAATTCTGTGCGAAACTGGATCAAGAACTTCCAATTCTGGAAGATAGACGAGCCAGGACCAAGGGGATTCTGGGACAAGCTCTTCGGGTCAGACAAGCCTCAGCGTGGTAACGACATCTGCTCGTGCGGAATACACTCTGGATTCTATCGGTCCTGGCAGCTCCTGAAAGCTGAAGTTATGGACGCACTCACCCGGGCTAGACAGACGCACAGTGACTATCATGTGGTCGTTACTGGTCACTCTCTGGGTGCTGCTATTGCTACTATCGCTGGCGCGTACCTTCGCACGATGCAGATACCCTGCGATATATATTCCTATGGTTCCCCACGCGTCGGGGACACGCGGTTTGCAGAGTTCGTCTCTGCTCAGCCAGGCTTCACAGCACGGATAACTCACGGATATGACCCAGTGCCATCACTACCCCCAATGAGCCTGTTCGGGGTTTATGATCTTGGTTATAGACATATCTGGCCTGAGTACTGGATTTCCGGTACATCCCAAAATAGCACTGATATCATCCAGGTGTGTCGTGGGCTGGAGAATCTATCATGCAATGGCACACGCCAAACAGGGTTCAGCTTTAATATTGAAGATCATCGATATTACCTAGGCCATATAACCGCATGTGGACCGAAGTTCACATACCGTGATATGGAGGAAAGCTGGAGCGCCGAGGATCTAGATCGTCTCCGAATGCTCGCCGGCAACGATAGCTTCTTCGCAACCCATTATATCTCCAACAGAACCAGCGCTTAACCTTATATCTGCTCTAGGTGCCGGATATTGGAAATTCGAGTACTGCATGGTTTGCTCAGAATGAGCCTCTCATTCTGATTTGTTGTGATGTTTCCGATATCCTCTTCATCATTTAAGCTTCATGGCATCCGGTAGACGTGAAGATAGCATATACTACATAATGTAAATTACTCAATATTGCTATGTTTTTATTAGCATTTATCACCACCAAATCTTCTACCATACGGCTACTATAGGTATACAGGTTACATCATATTTTCATAGTATGTATTTTGGATATTATCACGTACGACATATGACAAAAGTTGCGTTTCGTGAACGCGAGTTGAAGGATATATCACCGCCACGAGTTAACAACGCAGCATTGGTGAATGCACCATTGAGTGAGTGGTCTTATTATATATGTTGCTAATTCAATTCTTTAGCAGCATATTTCAGGCAGGTATACTCAAGGCTCCTCTCTATTACTAAATGAAGTCAGCCTTTCTTCACCTGTTGACAGAGCCGCGGGATTTGAAACCCGGCGTTCAATGAGCGCTTCAATATCCCACCAGATACGGCTCAAAATTTAAAAGGGTCCAGATGTGCTTTACATGGAGATATCTGTCTTACTATTGTTCTGTCACTTTCCGCAGCAATCACGATGAAGAGTTCAACAGACCCAGCTTCCCTTAGAGTGCCACCACAACTGAGCCTAGATGGACGAGTGATTATTGTTACAGGTAACCCCTATGATTCTATGTTCACCTGGAAATACATGTCAAATGACCGGATTCAAATAGGCGGTGCTCGTGGGATTGGTCTATCTCTTTCCAAAGCGTGTCTAGAAGCTGGCGCAGTAGTGGCCGTCACAGATATTCAGGATCATCCAGCTCCTGAATTTACGCTCACCAGCGCGAAATTTCCTGATCGCCTCTATTACTACCGGTAAGCTGACATTATGCACAGAATGGCAGTAAGAGGTTTGAGATGTTGATCAACTCAGTTGCGATCTCACCAACGAGGAAGAATTGAACCAAACGTTCACCCGAGTCTACAATGATCTAAATCATGTGGAAGGAATGTAAGAAATCACATCACTGCACATTCACCATGATGGTTAGGCTATTAACCTCCTAGAAATACTCAGTATTACCGCAGCAGGAATTTGCATTGACAAGCCCTTCATCGAGCATACTTGGGAAGATATTCGGAGGCAGCAGTTGGTCAATGTATGACATAAATACCATACTCATACCTCAGCGACCGGGTTTCTCTGATGCTGAATTTATACAGGAGACGGCCACTTTCTTCGCAGTGCAGCATGTCACCCGAAAAATGAAAGAACTGAACAAGAAGGGAAGCATAGTGATGGTCTGCTCTCAAACCGCGCAACATGTTTCCCCCGGACACGAGCTTTCCGGCTATGCTGGCACAAAAGGATTCATTTGGTCGTTCGCAAGGAATATCGCACACGAGCTTTCCGCTTATGGCATTAGAGTGAACACAATATCTCCAGGGTAAATACTCGCTATGGGTACCAAGGTCTTATGGCTGTGTTGATATTCTAACATTTTCTGGTCTAGGTATATTGCAACCGATATGAACCTGAGTATCGCAGCCCATAGGCCGAACCTGCTTCGGATCTTTCGTGAAGCTCCTCCCCTTGGTCGAGTTGGCAGCCCGGAAGACCTGAACATGGCGGCGCTGTACCTACTGAGCGATGGATCGTCATATGTTACTGGCCAAGATCTAGTTGTTGACGGAGGTATGCAGGTCTCCTCAGGAAATTACAAGTCCCAGCTCTAGGTCAATGTCTATAGTGAATGGTCCCAAACGGCCCAGGCTATACTTGGGCCACCAGGAAACTCTGTGTTAATTACCTCTAAAGTATTAACATAGGTGCAGACATCAAAGCCTTGATCTCAGCGGTAGATATTTTTCATGCACACAGCTTGCACAGACAATGCCATCCATAGTTTCCATCACCGCGCGAACTGTAGCCATTTTTTTCCCTGCCTCAATTACTGTACAGGTGAGCTTCACGCTCAAGCCCGCAGGCAGAGGGCGATGGAACCACACTGCCAATGAGCGGCTCACTCCGAGGCTCTCCCAGTACCCAGGTTTGCCAATAGTGAACAGCGAGGTTGAGCTGAGGTTGTCGAAGAGGGTCGAAGCAGCACCACCGTGTAGAACGCCATCTTTGTTGCACATGCAGTCGGCAACTTCGAAGTGAAATGTCGTTCTCCTTCTCTCAACGTCAGCGCCGATATAGCTAACAGCTGCCAGCATATGAGTGTCAAATCCGGAGTAATCGGTATCTGATGTAACGCTGCCAAGATAGGCACGAATGCGATCGTCTAATGGTAAACTGAAGTCTGTCTTCCGATACGCATCTGGAGCCATGGTTGATGTGATAGGCGACTAGTATACGTTACATTCAACGTAAGCTTTGCACTGGGAATTAGTTGGAAGAATAACCTACTCGCTCTGGATATATGCTGTTTGTGACTTCGTACGCTTTTGCGTCTTTGTGCTCGTTTTTTACATCTCCATATAGCTTTCCCCCTCTCTTCCTTTATGCCATCGCACGGAATTACACTTCCAGCCAACTCAGAGTTCATTCCGGACTACATTTAGGACAAAACATCACATGATGCTATAAGGCTACGCTTTAGAAATCCTCGGGTATTCCTAGGATGAAGGTTCCATTGCTCCACCTTCCTACTCTCTTCGAACACCATTCTCGTCGAATTCAATCTTGCGTCCTGTTCTGAGGCTTTCCTGCAGGGCAAGTGCTATATGCAGTCCAGAATATGCGGATTCTAGCCGCAGAGGAAGCTTTTTGCCTTCTAAAATCGCATCCGTAAACTGGTTCAGCTCCGTTACAAATGCTTCACGATACCGATCAATCCAGCCCGGGGTCGCGTCCTGCACAATTCCCGAGGAATTCGATATTTGTACCCTGTTGCTATGCGGCACGAGATTGATCGAGATTTTACCTTTTGTGCCGATAATTTCAGTACAGTTGTCGTACCCATGAGCCGTAGTTCGCGAGTGATAATAGTGTGCAATCCTTCCACCCCAGAATTCCACCACCCCTACTGCATTATCTGCGTCCTGACAATCTTTCAGCTCATGATGGTGTACTATGAGACCCGTTGCCCAGAGCGCTTTGGGCTTGATATCCTCACCCAGGAAAGACAAAGTAAGATCAATGTCATGGACAACTGTATCGACAAAGATCCCGCCGCTTTGTCGAGCATATTCAATGAAAAACCCAGACTTGTCTAATTTTTCGGCCCCTTGTGAGCGAACAATAATGGGATCACCAATGGCACCTTCTTGAATCTTTTGAAGAGCTGCTTGATACTGTTCATCAAATCGTCGAACAAAGCCGACCATCACTTTTGTGTTCGGGCTTGTCTCCGCGACCTCAACTAGCCCCCGCATCTAAAAGCACAAGGTGTTAGCCTTCTGGCCCAAACAGCCTCTGCCACGCGAATGTAAGACAGGACTCACTGATGAGAGATCTGTGGTAACTGGTTTCTCGCATAATGCATGAACTCCTTGCTCAACTGCAGCCAAGGTATGCTCAACGTGCAAAGCCGTAGGCGAAGCGATTACTACAGCCTCCAAGCCTTTCATGCGTATCATCTGGTCGTAATCACTGAATATAATGACTCCTTCGGGTTGTAAATGATCCTTGGCCCACTGAATCTCATGCGGAGCGACGGAACACACACTATGGAGTCGCGCCCGGGGAACATGATGCAGGATATTCAGGGCATGGCGTTGCCCCATCCGGCCCAAGCCTACAACTCCAATGTTGAGTTTTCTTGATGGGACAGCCATAGCCGATTTGTGGGTTCCTACTCAAAGACTATGCCTTTAGGAAAGAATTATCTTGTTTGGCTCTGAGAGAAATTGCAATATGGACGTAAGCACTTAAAAATGAATTGAAGCCAAGCCAAGACGACTACTGGAATTTGAATCCCGGTATGGCTGGCCACAATCCGCTATTCATAATCAAGGGCTGTTTGATTGCATCGGGCGGGGTATACATAGTAGCTTTTGCTTTAGACTATAATTATTCCATATTTTCTACGTTACTGTTGAACATGATGTGGTAGTTTGATCATACACTTTGACTGCAGTGCTGGGAGATACCACTCAAATGTACCCTATTGACCTATCGTCTAAACTTCGTACTCCTTGTGATTTGTCTATGTATTTAGCCTAATAGTTCGGACAAGAAAGAATGCTTGGACTATATTTAAGTTAGAGAAACTGCGTTATCATCGCCTGTAGAAATATTTCAAAAGGAATATTTTAAACTACGATGTATGATTATAGTATCCTTGGCGGAGAAGTCATCCTAATGATAAATTTAACAATCTTCCTTGTATCGTTGCTGTCATATTTCCCATACTAAATCTAACAAACTCATTCTCTTCTCAGGAATGAACCGATGGTATTATATTCGCCTGAACCATGCGATCAAACACCGTTGTGTACCCGACAACTGTGGCTATTGACTCCTTAAAGCCAACGTCACGGGCCTTCTCAAGAGAGTATTCCCTGTCAAAGTCAAAATCAACCAGCATAAACTGAGTGTGTCCCCAATTCTGGTTTTCAATAAGCCCTCTTTTCAAGCCATGTCTCTCCATCAGACGGTTCCAAGTACCATGGTGCTCATGTACAAATTCCTTCATACTGGCCTGGCCGTCACGGGGTTCAGTGCCCACGAGGCCAAAATAGGAGCATATACCAGGCCATACCTGCTCCCACGACACCGTCTCACCGTCTGCACTGTTAAAGGATGATCCATTCGGACATTTGTCTCGGTTCAGGGCGGCGAAAATCTCCATCTTGGAAAGAATGTCTTGGAAAGTGTCGCTATGTGTGGATCGGTATCCATGGGGCTTGCCGGGGAACGCAACAGCTGCTCCGGCCCCATAGATCTCCCGGTAGAGGGTTAGATAGAAAGCAATTCCATACGCCATGTTCATGGCATTCGAGCTGGGAGCAAATCCCACGATACCATCAGGTCGGATTTCCGAAAAGGTCCATCTGGAGCCCTTGGAAAGCTCCATCAGGAGATCATACTGGTCGTAGTAGAAGATATTGCTTTGCCAAGGCTCAGGAATCCGAGGCATTTGTTCATGGAGAGGTGGCTGAATGTTAATCTCTTTAGGAAATTCCAGTCCGTAGCCTTTGCCGCCAGTCTGGAGGATGACGGCCTCGAGGTTCGGCGCGGCGGCACTGATGGCAAGGATGGCAGCGCGGAGAAGGTCGGTGTTGACTTTCTTCAGGGACTGAAAGTCGTTTGTTTGGATGTATGCTTTGGAGTTCGTTAGAAAGACATATTTCTGGTAGCCCTGAATGAATCATACCGCAAAAGAACACAATATCGACCGTCTCTACCTCCTCGACTTTCGACTTCAGCTGGTCGATGATCTCCTCAACTGAACTGGTCAGGTCAATCCCACTGATGATATTAAGGCGCGGATCATTGGCCAGGAGAGTATCTTTCTTGGACAATGGTCGATTGCACAGGCCAGTTATCCGTCGGAATGTTGTTGGAGTGGGATAGGTAAGAGTCTGGTTCATCAGAGACCAACCCGATATCCCCGACGCGCCAAAGATTAAAGCATGCTTCCCTGTGGCTGACATAGTGAAGTGATATTTGCTTGACTCGCGCGTTGATTCACAATCCATGTTGTCTGTCGATCTGCCGCAAATTTCTATTCTTTATCCGGGATTCATTTCCCGGTACCGATTCCGCTCATTAGTAATTCGCCTCCAAAAGGCACATCAAGAATATGCGGAATCGCGGAAAGAGTGTTACTTTCATACGATCAATTAATAATGGCTCGTCCAATCCTTATACTAAATCTAACTGGTTGATAATTGCTGTAACACTATAGAACTCATGGTTAAGTCCAGTATACTTAGGTTCAATACACGAGAAAGTAGGGAAAAGGACCAATAAAGGCTAGTTCTATCATAGGATTGTAAAAATGATCTGCATCAGTTTACAAAGACATACATTGCTGGTGCCTGAGGTTGGTAGGCTCGGCTCACTTCATTACTCTACATGATTAAGAAAGGCATAAGTGGTGCACTAAAACAAGAAGACAACGGGTAGGTTTCATAGGAGAGTTTCCAAGAAGATGCGCCATGAGTCAGCAAGTTCAATATTCTTAACTTAGCCAGCTTCTTCATATTCAGTTCGTCATACAAGCTTACTCATTCATGAAGCACAAAGGCTGGAAGTGAATTGCATGGTTTCTTCAACATCAATTCAGAAGGCAACGGCCTTGGTGAAGGCTAAACCGTACAGCAATCACGGCGTACTTATTTTTTAGATCAGCATTTGACATCTTCCTAGAGCATTACATGAGACTCACCAATGCCAGTTTCAATTGCCAAAGCTAGCAAATCGACATATTGTTGCCGATTGGCCGTCGAATAAAAGGGGTGAAGATCTAGTCATCCTACTTTCTCTTGTCCTCCAGATGTTGTTTTGTAGGTAGTGCTTGGGTACCAGGATCTATCGACTCGTTGATTGTTGAGTCTTGATAATCATCGACAGGTGCAGTACGTGGCTTAGCCAAGTTTCCTGTATCCGACCTCACATTTTCCGCTGGCCCTTCTTTGCCGGCGCCAAATTCACCCTCTTTTCTGAGCTGTCCAAGCCCGACCTCACCCTCAAAGTGAAGCTTTTTCTCCGTTGACCATGCCGGACGACCTGTCGGCCTGTCTAGTACTGAATCTAGCTTATCTTGGGCATATGTGGCGTCTCGAATGTGCCAGTCGGACTCCGATTCCACATACCCATGACTAGCGATATGGGTCCCCTTACCTATCATTTCCGTGTCTTTAAAACATAGAGTTAAGTGCGCTCCTCTCGGATCCTTCTGATATCTTCCGCCGATCCAGGTGGTTTGATAAATTCCACACTTATCACTTGATCATCGTCAGAAGCCGGGTCATTTCCAGAACGGATGAAAATGGCCATTGGATTAAGCCCCTGGTCCGTCGCGGTTTGGTATGCAAGAGCTGTGTATTGCTTGATCAGGTCAACGCTCTTGGGTCTAATTAAGACGTAAATCTTGACCAGGTTAATGGTTGATATGGCAAGAGACAAATTCGACATTATTTCTCGATAATAATCTGGTCTTGAGAACAACAGGGTTCTTATTTACTTGAATAAACTTTCTTTCCTTTCGGCTGTCCTGTATATTTGCAGCGTACTTTCAAAGTAGATATCGTTCCCCCCGTTATGGTATTTGTTCTTCATTCTACAGACAGGTCTATCAACCTATCTTTGTTTCTTGTGCAACTTTGTGCTCCAGTACACCTCTGCATTCGTAAGCACCAATCCCTGTGCACGACAGATAGACACGCTAGCATAAGTCTAAGGTAGGCAGGACAAAAGATTATCGAGACCGTACTACAAAGCCTGGCTAAAATTATGTTATTGCCCATTCAATGTTCCTTCTTTTTCGTTCTTTTCTTTTTACCCTTTGACCATATAAAACGACAATGCCTGCGATGTGTTCCTCAGACTCACCCTGAGAGGCCCGTCGCGTTCGGATGTCAAAAAATCTTTCTGTCAAAGCTTGTGAACTTATCTAGTAGCACGCGAAACTGTGTATGGCTACCTTGGAGATTGGATTCCTATGTTCCTCGTAGCGATCAGCTCTTTTAGATTGTAGTAGGCGCGATGATGCCTGATATATATTTACACATAAGTCCATAGCACACATGGACATTTCGATCCCTTGTTGGACCAATTGCTACGGCCGTAGAGGTAGAAGGAAAGTCTGAGGTAGATAGTTGATTTCTTTCTGACTAGCTACTGTTTGACAAAAATCTATCGTTCACCATTGGATGTCGAAGGTGCGTCTAACATGAACGTGTGAACGGTACACCAATTAACTAGCCAACAACTGTAGAGCCTACAAGACACAATATCCCTTGAATTTTTTATCTTCAGATTCCATGCATGAGCCGGCCACTTCTCATGTCCGGGTTCCGGGAGAGGTGGGGCTTGGAGAGTACGAAATAGAGCATTGAATAGTCCATCCAGAATTTAAATGTGGGGCCATCAAATCGAGACAAGACGTGAGAAACGATGGCAGTTTCACCATATTTAAAAATATCCGTGGTCGGAACGAGGATTAGGGCTTCTTTTCCGGGGATCGGCACTCCGAGCATTCCTCGTCGCATGTTCCGGGGAGGGAGCCCCAAGACTCCGTATATGCCGGCAGTTAAGTAGTACTCTAGCTCATCCCGGTTCTTGTAGTTTTAGATCCAGCGTAGGATTTCATGCATCCTGAGCCTCCAGGTGCTTGGGACAATCAGCCCATCTCGATATTGGTTTCACATGCCAAAAAGGTCTGGACTTGGCAGTTAGCCCTAAGCCGAGATGATGGCGAGGAACTAACAGGAAACCATCGCTTGTTCCGAGGCGAGGAAATGGAGGAAATTGTGAAATTGCTATGCTCTTGGTGTATCTTGACCGCCTACCGTAAATAGTAATTGAACAACACATGTTCAGCGCTAGTTCCTCTATTTTTAGGTGTCGCGTACGGAGGAGGCAAATCCCGTTTCTAGCTTCGACTCTGTTAGATTAAGAGTTCACCAGGCCTCGGCTTAATAGATTGATTAAAGCATTTCTCTTCTCCTCAAGCTAAGCTGTTAATCTCGTTGGAGGAAGAAGCAGGTCGAATTCCAGGGCATAAACACAACGCGACCTAAAACTGGTGCTCTCTCGACCACCATTATATATTTGAGTCTTCATCTACGCAGTTGTTTGAGTCTACCAGCAATCACACCCAAATTTCATAACGCGGAGAAGCCAAGCGGACATATTACCTCCAAGAGACTAGCTGCCTATCCTACAACAACGGTGTCCTTATCTTATTACCTGTAGGAAACAGTACAGCCAATAGCCATTTGCAAAAGATGGGCCACCAACGGCTGACGGGGTCATAATCCGGCCGAAGAGCGGGGGCAGCCGATAGACAGTTCAACGGTCTCAAGGCTAGTGCTTAGCGGGCTGCATCAGCAATGGTGACACTTGTACAGAGTACCCTCACTCGAAAAGCCAATAGGGGCTGTGGAATTACCTTATGCTTTTCCTGCCACTGGCAGGGACCGACCCCCTGCTACAAAATAGAAAAAATAATAATAATAGTAATAATAATAACTGACTCAGTAAGAATTTTGTTGTTCCTTCATCTTTCTCTGCAAGTAATGCAACCGTCATCATGGCCGTGTTGGTGATATTAGGGATAGGTCTAATTACGTATTTGGTGATTCAGAGCATCTACCGCCTGTATTTTCACCCATTGAGCCATATTCCCGGCCCAAAGCTGGCTGCGATTACTCATGGCTACGAATTTTACCACAATATCATCAGAGGCGGCTTGTTTATCTGGGAGCTCGAACGTCTGCATGAAGTTTACGGTAAGCTTATTGAATTCCTTCACTTACGTTGTAGGTCCAAGGCTGATCGCAAACAGGCCCCATTGTCCGTATAAACCCCCGTGAAGTCCACATCAAGGACTCCGATTACTACGATGAAATCTACGCCTCCAGCGCTCGCAAACGCGAAAAGGACCCGGTCCTCGTCGCTCAGTTCGGCCTGGAAGGATCCGGATTCTCAGCAATCGACCAGGAAAGTCACCAGCAGCGGCGCGCACCGGTGGCAAAATTCTTTTCCAAGCGCGCGATCGAGAACCAGGAGCACCTGATCCGTGACAGTCTGGGTAAGCTCGTGGGTCATTTCCAGGAGGCTTGTCGTGCGCACACGGTTGTCAGTCTGGACGCGGCCTTCGCGGCGTTAACCTCTGATGTCATCCACCAGTATGCCTACGGGTTTAACCCCAATAACCTTGATAAGGAGGGGTTCAATGCCAAGGTCCGAGATGGTATCAATGGTCTTTTCCAGCTGGCGCATCTGCTGTATTTCTTTCCCATTCTGCAGACGCTTATGAATGTCATGCCGCTTCCCCTTTTGCAGCTGTTGAACCCCCCTGCGTTCGCGCTGGCGAGCCAGAAGAAGGAACTTTATGAGCGGGGCGCGGCTGCGCTGGAAAAGGCGAATGCTAAGGCTGGGAGTGGGACTTTGATCGACACGCTTGCCGCGCCATCCATGCCGGAACATATGCGATCCGCGCATAGGCTCATGAATGAGGGCTTTGCTTTGGTGATTGGAGGTACCGAGACAACTGCCAGATCGCTTGCGCTTGGGGCGTGGCATTTGTTCACGAGGGAGGATATCCGAAACAAGCTCCGCGAGGAACTGAAGCAAGTGATGCCGACACCGGATTCTCAGCCGACATGGAATGACTTGGAGAAACTGCCGTACATGGTATGTCTGACCTTGCTCTCGCTAAATCTTGCAAGCTAATGCCAGTTCAGTCCGGCGTTATCAGCGAATCCCTGCGTCTTTCAACCGGAATTGCGAATCGATCATCGAGAGTGGCGCCTACCGAAGCGCTGGTGTATAAAGACTATACTATCCCACCTGGAGTGAGTTAGACCCCGTTTAAGTGGGGAAAATGTGACGACACTGACAGCAATCTAGACCCCAGTCAGCGAAACAAATTACTTCACCCTTATGGACCCCGAAATCTTCCCGGATCCGCACGCCTTTGATCCGGAAAGATGGATCCGAGCCGCTGCTAAGGGACAGCGATTGGACCGCTATCTGGTGAACTTCTCAAAAGGGAGTCGGATGTGCGTAGGCTTGAAGTAAGATGCGAAGTACCCCTCTACCGTGTTTGTATTTGCTAATTGTGGTATAGCTTGGCCTATGCGGAGCTCTTCCTCGTCATCGCTACGATCGTGCGTCGCTTTGATATTGAGCTGTATGAGACACCGAAGAGCAATATTGATTTTGCTCGCGATTTCGGTACTCCATACCCGGATAAGGGTAACTTTAGTGTACGGGCATTGATTACGGGCGTTGTTAGCGAATAAACGTGTAAATAAGTAGTAATTTGAATGCAGTAAGGGGAATCAACAAGGGCTAGATGACAACACATGACCTGACAAAAGTAGACTATCCATGCGGCTAACTATCTCACGGTTACGATGATACAAACTTTTCAGAAACGGCCCGCCTATTGAAAAAAAGTAAAGAAGAAAGAACAAAGGAAAAACTCGATATTTATAGATGGGTATACAGTCATAAGACATATGATAGAGATGACAATGACCAGACAGAGGTAGCCGGCTCCATCACCTGAAAACAAATTGCGCAGCGCGAGGTCAAAGGTCAGACACTGCGTCGTAGATCATGGGTGGTCCTCTCTCCAATCGAAGTTCTGCTTCACCCTAATTTGCATGGCGATAGGTTCCTGGCTGGAAGCAGTGGAGCCGTTGGACGGGATCACGCCTTCCTCTCTGCGAGGACTGCTAGCACGCCCTACGTCGGTAGTCAGGTAGACTTCATCCTCTTCCGGCCAAAATCGATGCTTCTTACCATTCGAAGGCCGATAGGCTGACTGGTTGCCGGTACTCTGCAGCCCCGTGCCCGAAGTGCCCTCGCCGCTCATTTTATAGTCCCGCGTGAGGCCACTGCTGCTGAAAAGCCCCCAGAGCCTCAGTTGGGGAATTTGGCGCAGTAGTGGGCGAAGGGTTGGTAGACAGGCGCTGACAATACCGATGCAGGGCTCGACGTTGGACCAGATCATGGCGTCGCCAATCACCCAGGTGATGTCGACGGAATCTTTCATTTTGGTGATGGCGCAGATGCGAACAATTGTCGCTACGCAGACGCTGCAAGAACAGTTCTGTTAACTTCTTGTTTAGATGACGATGGGGCGCGTAGCTTACAATCCACCGAGCAAGAAGATACCGCTAATGGCCCATTTTTGACCCTTGGGCATCTGCAGGCTCCAAACGATCGGCATGGGCAGGCATAGAATGATGACATCGGTGAACAGGTTGGCGACACCGTTCCACAGATAGAATTGGTACAGATTGATCCGACAGTGCCCTCCACTCAAAGGATACACCCATTGAGTCCAGAAGAAAGATGATGGGACGCAAGCGACTGAGATGGTGGTAGAGACTGAGATAGCATATCCGATGGAGAGAAACGCACAGACATACAACGACCAAGTGAGGCGGAAAATTCGG